TACCGAGTTGCCCCTTCATCTTCACCTCGTCGAAATCCGTACAGGACAGGATCACGATTCACGATGTAGCTCTTACTGCCCCTCTTCAACGTGCAATCGGATCACATAACAGCAAAAATGCGTGAATAATGATTACTCACCCGTGACCTAAGCTACCATCGTAGGATTCCAATCCACGTCGACGGGTAAGGTTCAGAGATTCCAAGGGATGTGCTGTGCCACCAACGGGCTTACCGTATCCAACCTTATTTTCTTTTGGATTGTCGATTATTGATTCCGGATTGATTCTAAACTGTTTATTTGGATCGTGGTCGTACTTCGTACTATGCAGAATCCTTAAGTTGAGAACAAAATATTGGAAATAACAAGCGATGGTACTGGAATTCTCAAGGTCATGTCTTCTCATTAATCCCACCTTTTCCTCCCCTACAACCTAAAAGCTCCCCATGGAACAAACCCCATCGCACTAAAGAAGATACGATACTTAAATACCTCGGTTGGTGGATCTCACTAGTCCGGTCTGAGGTACTCAGCCCTGATCAATCTAGCTTAGATCACTATCAAAGCGTACTAGGTGGTTGGTTGTCTGTTGAACTTTTCACAGGGCTGCGTTGGATGCGGTATTCGTTAGAAAGTAGAATGCCGAGTTGACATTGAAAATGGGGGTGGTTTGGGGTATTTTGCCTTTTGCCTCTTGCATAAATACCATGTAGGTTTATAGACGTTATCATGCCGGATTAGCTGGAATAGGGAAATCGAAAGTCATCACCACTCGGTGCTACAGATTATTGTCTGTCCTATCTATCTATCTATCAACAATAAAGTAATTTATCCTTAGCTAATCACTCAATATTTCTCCTTCATAAGAGTTCCATCACCAATCCGCATACTATCACAATCTAATTTCCCATCTCCATTTTTTCACACAGACACGGGAACGGCCTTATAAGGATGGATTCAAACTATCAACTCGCACCCACGCACCAGTGAGAAGCTTCCAAAAGAAGGCCAGAGAGTCGGGACCGACATTGTGGTTTCTCACCCATCCACAGCACTACTGTACGCTCGAGCAAATTGCACGGAGTAGCATGGAATTGGATCCTAGACCCTTGAGTTTGTGCATGGCTGGTATGAAAGGGAGTAGAGTGGAGAGCTGACTGTTATTTATGACGTTTTGGTGATTGTAAGGAGAGACATTACTCCGTTCCTCATATATCACTGAAATAGAAAGTAGATAGATATAATCCAATTTAAGCAGATCAATTATATTGTATGATACAGTCTGAATAATCGTTTACAAAATAGACAACCAGTCGAGTTTAATAATATGGCTGCACAACTCTTTTTCCCCTTTCGTTTATTTTACGTGAAATATACATAAAGCTCGACTCTTTTGCATGTGCTGGATTTGGATATCTACATGGTATTGAATCCTACAGTCCTAACAAAGAATGGTACATATATAAAGTACCTACAGTAGTGTATTATATGTCATGTAATGCCCGCGAAAGACTTAGAAATGTCGACAGGATTACTCGAGATTGGGGTGAAGAGGGGAGCTCGGACCGATCAAACATGTGTGTACATGAAAACCCAAAGAAAGCAGAGAAGGAACAAATGAAGAGTACAACGCCCGAACTCATTTCGCCTTGAAAGGCTGATGGGGATCATCCACCCCGTGCCGGTATACCTTCCTTATCTTACCCTGCTCTGATTGTATGTTCGTTGTTTGACTGTTCCTATGCATGCCCTCCCTCGTACGTACACTACATGAGGATATGCAAGCAAGCAAGCTTTGCTTCCCGAGTCCGTATCTTTGCATTTGTGTGTATTTCGTTCCACCTACTAACTCCCTGTCTATTGTGGTTTTCTTCCAATAAAAACATCGAGTTGATGCATCGAGAGTTGTTGATATGGGTGCAACGAATGATTCGCACGCGTGAGATGGGAATGAAGATTCTGACGTTGTATTGCGTTACCAGATTGAGGCGCACAAAATCGTCGGAGGTGGGGCGTCAATAGACTGAATGGATATGGTGCCCATGGCTCGTTGAAGAAATCTTAATGTAACGCAAGTAGATGCTGGGTCAATAACATGGTCGTACCGCATATACTGGGATCTTGGGACTGATTGCCTTGATATTGCCCTATTGTGATTATACCCGGTCTGCCATATAATCAACAGACCATAAGAGTCGAGAGACCTTACCAATGTTGAATCACTGACTTACATATAGAAGGGTGATGTGAGATACTTGTGTATTGGATAGACAGTTGCAGATGATGCAGCCAGACCGTTTCACATGCATTTAAGTTGAGAGGCGGGGTAATAAATCTTATTCAAGAATTGGTGTTCTTGTATCTGATGTGACCGTGAACATGAAGTATCCTGTCTGTCCCTAGAATGCTTGTGGATATATACTCACTGATGGGACATAGAGCTAGGACTGACAGTCAAATTGCGAGTTTCTAAGCGCCACTGAAGTTTCCAAGGCAATCCTCAAGTTTACACAATGTACCTGACGAGCGTCGGAGTATAAAGTACCAGACGACCTCAGTCTCACCGGACAATGAAAATTGATCAACATATTGATCAACGAAGTGCTTCAATTGTTTTGTGCTTGAGGTAGATGCAACACGACATAGCATCTGATCCAATAGAAAATTATCCTACTCGTCAGTGTACAGGTTTGAGAAAGATAAATTGCAACCATGACATGACTTGGAAAGATCATGGGTGAGATTGAGAAAGATGGCAAGTAAGTAATGCTGTACCTCCGTTTCGAAGACAAACACGAGCCTTGTGAGTCTGGGAGGAGGAGTAGTAGTAATAGTAGTAGTGTGGTATGTAACAGAGAATAACCAATCCCTATTCGCTTCCCCTATTCGTAAGACATAACATGGCATTAAGCAGGGCTTATGGCGTAAACTCAACAGGTACTTAGGCCCCGATGGTATCTCCGCACGAGATGGAAAACATCATATTTCAAGCTGATCGTATTCTGGCATGTTTTTTTTTTCGTCTCCGCATTACATAAGTGCCCAAGGTGCCTCGAGTATTTTTTCCAACTACTAGTGCCAGTGGCTGTGTTGAAGATCTTCGGATTTGCATGCCGGATTGGAAATAACTCGAAACAAGTGCTGAAGTCAATCGCTGGTGATTTCAAGGTTGATACTAAAATGTCAATTTAATGCCTAAGATCGAAGCATGTGATTCGGACATCTCGAGGCGAAATGCTGCGTACGTTGAAATTCTCAGGTCAGAATTGGAGGCTTAGCCGGGTAAGGGTATTTGTGAATTTGTATGGAACGCTAGGATGAAGGATAATGAAAATGTGGATAATCTCAAACTTGGAGTTAGTTGTCACATTGGCTACAACATTTCCGTATTTTACAGTAGATTTGCAGACAAATAGACAGACCCTTCAAAAGGCTGCAGATGCTCAGGCATTTATCTGCTGTACAACTTTCTCGGTGTTGAAACCCTCGGCCTCGTACTAGTAACCAATTGACTGGAGCCAGAGCTGTGGCGATTGCGGAAGAAGTACCTTTGTACTCCGCACAATACAATGAATGCTACGAAAAGGGTTCTGTTCATTCTCTCCTTCGCTTAGTGAGTACTATTAGCATGAATACCTAGCAGAATGACTCTCGTCATAGGATTCCGAAAGAGTAGTAATAAACATTTGTTAAATTGTCTTAAACGTGCCTTCTCAATCAAGGATCTGAATTATTGATGCATTGAGACCCTTGATTCTGCATTAACTAAATACTATAACCAACAACAGCTGTTGTTCGATCAACTCTACTTTACAGATGGTTGGTGTGATCCGTCGTGTAATTATTGATCACTTTAAACATCCTAACAATAAACTACCTCTTCGATGCCTTCTCCCAATAAACAATCTAAGTGGATAATCTCCTAATATGTGAGATTGCTGGCTGTATCTATATGGAAGAAAGTGTGGTAGTACAATCCCAAAAATTATCCATGATTGCTTTTAGAGGTTACCTGAGAAAGAACTTGTAAGGCTGAACAGTAAGTGTGGAGTACTTGATCACATTGACCAATGAAGAAAATTGAAAAGAAAAGAGTCGGAGCTAGTAGATGGCTAGGGAATCTTTGATTAGACGGTGTAGCTAAAAGGGGTAATAATGGACATGACCCAAAAGAAATCAAGTTTATGATTCAATTGATTGAAAGGTCCAGATGGTTCTTGTTTTCAATAACTTGTGCGGAAATATAAACACTCATACATAGCCTTATGGAGAGTTAGCGAAACACTAAAATAGGCAATGACAAGATGATAGTCGAATTGTTCCTACTCAAGCATTCAGACTTTTTATCATCGTCATCATCATCATCAACATCATCAGCATTTTATTAGTTTGACAGATTACCAGCCTTATTGCCTTACCTATCTATACTCCCGTGATCTTTTGAGTTCGTGCTACCAAACATGGCATGGCATGGTATCTGACAGGGTTGCAGGATAGTCATAATCGAGGTCGACTAGGTACCTAGTAGGTATCAGAAACCCCGCTGTCGTTCTATGCAAGAGGGCAACTATGGGGCTTGATTAATAGTTTACAAACGTCTCATTGGCACCGGTTTGATTCATGAATTGCGCGCATCACATATTCACAGCGGGTAGCCTATGAATGAGCCTATACGGCCTCGAAAGGTAAGACTCAACACTCACTGGTGAATAAACCTGGTTCGCAAGACCATGAACAACACTGGATCGATGACACTGAAAGTATATTTCAGAAGAATGGAATCACGTTAGATAGATGACTTTATGAAACGACAAAACGAATGTACTTACACGTACCGGAATCTGCATCTTACAATATTCTTGCGGTATATCTTACTCGGGTGAGCTGACTCTGACTGATTGACGACTGACAATTACCTAACTCCCATCTTACTATCTTCTTACCTCCTCCTTCCCCTCCTTTCAAAGTCAGCATTCTCTTCTCTTCTTTTGATCAATTGCCGCCATCTGTATCTCATGATTCTCATCGTATTATTGTATCCACTTTCCATCATACGTGCTCCCTTGTACATGAAATCAAACAGTATACAGATCCGAAAAATAGCCCTAATCCGCCGTGTTCACATCAACCTAACACAAGAACGTCTAAAATAGGATTGAGAGGAGCTCAGTCATTCATCAACATCATTAATTGTCATCGCAGCTTCACCAAATTGGATCGACTCAATCCATTTCCTATTTTGAGTTGGTACTCCCCTCTCTCCCTCCTGGAAAAAGAACTCACCCTATCGTACTACCGTGCGCCGGGAATTGAGACAAACAGCCTTTGGATTGTCTTGGCTTTGACCAGTATCTTACCCTTCATAATTTGAAAAGGCGAGAAAGGCGAAAATATCCGAAAGTCCAACTCTATTATACCTAGATGCATAGGTAGGTATCTACCACACACATAGCTAATAAGGTAACTAATGTCATGATGACCTAGCGAGCGAAGTACAGTATTTAAGATTTACACTACCGAACACTCATCAGGACGGACCTACATACGACTCGAATACTTTACTTAACCCCTAACGCTGTAATCTCCGTCCACTCGAGGAAAGAGTTTAATCTACTTTTATCTACTTCTATCTACTTGATATACTTTATTCATACTTTGTTCCCAAAACGAAGAAGGCTCTATGGTCCTTGCCTTGGGGAGTTTAATCATCCATCCTCTTTAAGTCCTCGTCCCCTGTTTCCGAATTCTCCACCTCGTTCTTTTCACCCTACAGAAGTATAATAAGTCCCACCCTTTACCCTCAGTGAGCCAATACACCCATCCATCCATACACCCATCCATACACCCACCCATACCATCATCCATTCTGTTTAACCCATAAGGATACGGATACCTGGGTACTTGAAATCCGCCTATCAGCTTCGTTTCTTGGTTGGCTCCATCCGCTCTCATCGTCCGTCCATCATCACCATTCCCACTCCCCGAATGAAATCCTAGTTTCCCAGCCCTACTGTTTGTCATTCGTATTCTTAAGGCTTATGAGCTTATGAGAGAGGGAAGGACGAGAAAGAGAGAGGACCGACCGAATTGATTAGCATTCGATGTACGACGATAGAATTTAACGCTTATATTGGAATGTATGTATATATTTTTTATGAAATATTTACTATTCTTGCCATTATTACCATCTAGTTATTCAACATAACTTGTCATTCATTTGTTTATCTATCTATTTATATGCCTTGAGGGTCTCTCTGCCTTCCTCTACATATATATATATATATATGCGTTTGATACTTAATCATCTATCATTCATTATTAGACACCATATTATTATTATTATTATTATTATTATTATCATATCGTCCACATCTATATGAACTTACTTTTCTGACTTAAATAGTTCTCGATTCAATTTAGGTTTTTTTTGTTAGTACATATTCAGCCCTTCCGCTAAAGATTGGCCGAAACATACCTCTCCGTACTTCTTCGTCCTTTCATAACCACAGACGTTCGCCCCGTCATCCCATTTTATGAAGGGTTCGCAAAACAACGTCAACTTCGCGAACTCTTTGAGCGTACTCCAAGAGGCATTTGGTCCTATTGAAGAAAATACATACCATTGGAACCGGATGTTGTGACCCGGAACCTCTTTTTTTGTAACTAATATACTCTTCGAAAAAAAAATATCCATGTTGCGATTTCCCTCCTTCTCCACTCTCAACCTTTCCCTCCCAAGCAAAACGGCACGTCCGACTTAGCGACTTCTAGACGAAGACGAGGTCAGCTCATGTTGTTAGGAGGACTACAATATACATCCACTTAATTTTCATAGCCTGTGGCTTAACTCACACAATGGATATTCCTATGCGTGGCCAAAAGCCGAGCTTCAGCACACCCTTACCAGAAATCCACGTACAAGACTCTCACCACCCCGATCGATATCCCGACAGATACTCAGATCAACACAAATACCATTCTTCCAACTCTTCAAGGGCCGCGGCTGGACCAATGTCTATACCCAACGCGAGAGAGTCTCCCCCTCCTCCTTTACCACCACCTAAATACATTCCAGATACAGATAATGGGGGAGATCTTGGGTGGCAGTGGGCAAATCAAAATCGGGAACTCGATTGGGGAAGAAACGTTTCATCGGTTCCTGCTGGCTCGAGTCTGTACGGTGGGAGCTATAGTCGCAATAGCATATCAGATGAGCGACCAGACATTGGACGTCGAGGAAGCTCTAACGCCACCGTCACTGTCCATCCGTCGAAAGATGCGAGCAACCATGCAATTGCACTGCCAAAAGATGAAGGCTATTCAAGTCTTTCTGCTTCCAACGCAAGCATTGGGTCGACACAGTGAGTGCTATTATCTTAAAATCACGCCGGAGCCTCCGATTTCATGTCACCCCGCAAACAGGATCGCCAGTTCTCTTGTCAATGCTTTACTGAAGATTATGAAGTGTTTTCTTGTGCCTTCTTTTACTAATTCTTCGTTTCGCAGATCAAGAATTTCAATAGGCTTTCAAAGTTCTGTCCACGATACATATCAAACTAATGCTCAAGCATACGACAAATCATTATTACAAAAGCTGGGTAGCAGAGGAGATAATTTCACATCATCAAGACCATTCGCGAAGTCTCCGTTCAGCTCATCTGTAAACGATGCATCACCGACCTCTAGAATAGCGCGGGAACATGGTCATCCTACACTCAAGCCACTCTCTCTGCCAATCCATACACACAAACCGGCGCTTGCAGAGAGTCCCATAAATCGATGGGCAGATTCGCCTTTATCTTCTGGTATCTCACCAGGCAATCCATATCCCAGACTTAGCAATTTGAACACATTTGAGTTCAGGTCACCGACCGATATAATAGACAATGAAAGGTCACCACACCCTTACAACATGAGGTCGGGGAGCATAGCCGACGATGCATCAAGTATCGCCAGCCAGTCTAGGGATAGCTTCCAGATGCCTTCTCCAGAATACGAAGAAGGCTTCCATATGGAAGAAACGGGACTGAGACGACTACAGATAGGAGAAGAGTATCATGGTCGGAGTGAAGGATACTCTCCCTGCTCTACAGCCGGGCAAAAACGACGTGCATCTTCTCCTCCCAGGGACGACAGTCTACATCTACTACGCACGGTAGGCAGTGCAAGTGATCTTGCACGACGTCGCGAATCTGGCTCACGCTCAACACCAAGTCCGCGCTTTCATTCGAGCTCTACGTCTATATCATCTACCACTTCTTTACCTAGGAACTCATTCTCATCCACATTATCAGTGACTGCTAGTAGCGCGACCAGCATGGGCTCGTATAGTAGGCTGTCTCATGGAGGCCTCTCACCTGGACCCATGGATATCAACACCGACATGTCATATAACGGTTCAATGTCGCTAAATCCCAGCCCAAGAGGTTCAATTTCGGCTAGAACAACCCATCATCGAGCTTTATCTGAAAGTCGACCTCTAACTAATGCGCGAAAAATGCCAGAGGCATTAGGACACGTGAAACACAATAGTGCTCCTAGTAGACAAGGCGGTTTCATTTGTGAATGCTGTCCCAAAAAACCGAAGAAATTTGACACCCAGGAAGATCTCAAGTTAGTGTCACTCAAAATCTAACTGTTTGTTGATACTAACCATAATTTAGCACGCATGAACAAGAAAAGCAGTATGAATGCCTATACTGTCGAAATCGTTTCAAGAATAAAAATGAGGCTGAAAGGCATCAGAATTCTTTGCACCTCCGTCGTTACTCTTGGTCATGTGCTGCTCTCCTAGATTGGGCGCATGCTTTCCATCCTTCTCCTTCACGGCCCAACGATGCGGATACTTGTGGATACTGTGGCGAAGATTTTCCAAGGACTGGAATTGCGAATCACGAGGGGTCTTCGATGCCTGTGGCGACTGGTGAGGATTGGGACCTCAGGGGTGCTCATTTGCAAGACATGCACAAGTTTGGAGAATGTAACCATGCCAAGAAATTTTTCCGCGCGGATCATTTCCGTCAACATCTCAAACATAGTCATGCTGGTACAAGTGGAAAATGGACGAATATGCTTGAGAACGCTTGCATGATAGACGAGCCACCTCCAGAGCCACTCAGGGGGCCCGAAAGAGTCAGTCCTGGTGGAGTGAGAGTAGGCAGGATCACCGAAGAAGACGAAGTGCTATAAAATACAACGGCTTTCAAATCAATGGCTAGTGGAAGTCAGTTTGACATGCCAAATAAATACAATTCATTGAGGGTCTTTCATAAAAACAGTTCATATTCAGATTTGGACTTTCTGACAATGGAAATTCCGAACGACCAAAACAATCATCATGAATTGGGGAGGTAACTTGGGGCCATCCATCTATACTAAGGAGTTATTTTGGTGCATTGCTTACAGTGTGTTACATATCTTTTTCTTGCATGATAGGGACGCTCATACATCTGGATCTGTTTGGCGTTTTGGTTGTTTAAACTTTTTCTTTCCAATTTGAGAGTTAGTGTCAACCCTCTATAATCAGCGAGTATTCAAGAAACAGACTTGTCAGACTTGATTCCCGTTATCTTCGGGTTGATGACTCGGGCGCAAACGGGACACGAAGAGCAAGTGAAATAGGTTTTCACTTGGGCTCTGTCATCCATGTCAGTTCAGTACGCGGAGAAGCCTTTCATGTTGGGTCTGCTATCTATGAGGGAGAGATGACTGCCAAGGCGCGAGAGAGGCAAGAAAAGGGAAAGACGATGGGCATCTAATAGGCAAGAATTTGGCCGGGTTGTACTTACGTATGAAATAGGGCAAATACAAAAGCAAGTATGTAACTATTGGCATAAGAAAATAAAAGTTTACACCTTTGAATACTTGATTTCTTGAGTTTTCGGATTGTGAGACTGTGAAATATTGATCTTAGTGTCGTTTTACATTTCCAGTAATGCAATTAGAGAAGGCAAAAGGGTGCTATGATATATCGAATGTATAGTTCCTACATTTATGTCCATTCAAGCCCATCTTATCATCACGCATGTACTACAGTAATTGATCCTGTTTGACCCAGCCATTATTTACAAAGCTAAGCAATAACGCAAGCAAAGCAGGAACATAACAGGATGGGCTGAGCTTCAGGAAACTCTCGGGGGTAATGAAGGCTCGGGGGCGCGTTAATGGTAGGATGGAAGCTCGAAGGAACTAACTAAGGGACAATGACAGTAAAGCGTGATCCTAAGTACACGTATCATTTTTATTTATTCTGGCTTCGAACCTCGTCTACCTACATATGAGGGATAAGGCGTTGATGAATTCTACAAGTTTGCAAGGCAAGGCTTAATCTATCTAGTGTTGAGATCTCGTAGATTTTCTTCTCTCCGATCTATCATCTTTGAAATGGCATTTTATTCCTGGGCTGCCAAGGTTAGAGGAAACATCAGGATGTCGATTCTAGCCTCATTTGACCAGGTAGAAGAAGCAATGATAGGAGCCAGAATAGATATTCACCTTCGTTGCGCCATTTTCTTCTTAGTCACAATCGAATAATACACCGAGGGCCGAGGGGAATTGGTACGAAAAATAAGATTGGAAGCTATTGAATATTCTCACTCTTTGATTGATCGGAGATAGCTTTGAAGATTGCCGTATCCAGGATTCACTAGATGAAGATCTTGATTGCCTGGTAGGGGGGCAGTGTTAGATCAAATTACAAGTGTAGTCCATTATTAGTGTCAACGTTTGGAACTAGTAAGTAGATCGAGTAAAAGTCTCCGATATGCAAGTCATAGATTGCGTGAAGGTTTCGCTGCTTCACATGTTGCATACAATCTGACATCTTCATCGTTAGCGTAAGTGATATATATATATATATGCTCACAACAGTTTAAGACTCACTTTGTGTCGATCAAGCCAAACTGAATAGTGAATTTTGAACGGTCAATGGGTGGTATAATCTGTTGTTTCATGAGGTGAAAATTTTCATCTTCTAACGAAGTGAGAAAGTCTTTGTCTTTCTAAAGTTTAAAATTATGTTGAGCTTGAACCTTGTCCCTTCGTACGATTCACTAGACAATCCGAAGGCTGATGCGGTCTGCTGACTGGCTTTGGTTCATTGATTGGCGTAGTAAATCTTTTGGCAGCCGTCAAATTCACTTTGGTTGATTTCTTAGCGTGGTGATCTGTTTGACAGATTTCAGTTCTTTTGCATATATATAGACCGCCTTCCCTCCATCCTTTTCGACTTTTTTTCTCTTTCTTCCTTGTAGGGCGATTGTGAATTCAACCCGCCATCCTTGGTTTCAGCGTCTTTAGCCGTTCAAACATTTTGTTCCTTTCATTGTATCATTACCTTTTGATTTCAGCGTCTTGGTCGTTCAAGCCTTCTCTTGTTTTTATTGGATCACCCGTTATGATTCGGTGACCTGTCCGCGCGCCATTTTCGCTCGAAGAGTAGGATCTTCTGCCTTGATCCGTGTCTCAAGTTCAAGTATTCTTATCCCTTCATTGGACCAAGGCTATCGACTCCGGATCATTTCCTGCTATTCTGATTGATCTCCCTTCGGGGAGATCAAAATGACGGACGGCAGTATTTGGTTGGTGTTCTTTAGTCTTGGCTAATGATCGGCTATAAGGATCATTTGGACCGCTGAGCCGGAACTCGAGGGGATTATCTGAAAAGGAGCAGGATGGTTAGCGTGAGGATATGGGCTGTTGTCAAACGAGGGGTTTCAATAGAATGAGCGGGATGCTTGCGCGGCTAAGGCGGGGGGGTCAAGAGGGATGGTGCCTTGAATCGATCAAGATGTTTCAGCGGCTATGGCGGGGAATCAAGCGGCCTGGTTGAAAAGACATTCGCCTAGGAAAAGGCTGCAGTTCTTCACCCTGCCGTTGCTGTCTTTTGACTTCGCTCCCTTCGGGGAGCGAGGAATGATAATGAACAGCATCGGGGGGTGAAAATCTGGCAGCCTTGACCCGTAACCCTGGCCCAAGCCAGTATCCCAGTACCTTTTGTGGCTGTCCTTTGACTTTGCTCCCTTCGGGGGGCGAGGGATGACAAAGAACAGAAACAAAAGGTCAAGGGATGCTGGCTTGGGCCAGAGTTGCGTTAGGTCGATTTCATCGTTCCTCTGGTTGGAATTTGCCAACTTCCAATCTTCCGGTTTCCTTCGGGGGATCGGGGTGAGGGAGTTACATTGGATAGCCTGGGGATTGATGAAGTTGACCCGTTAACTTGGGCCAAGTCCATCGCTGTCTGACATTCTCTATGATCTTCTAATCTGGTCATTCTCTTCGGGGAATGATTGGTGTAGGAGTCGCTAGAGGGTCGTTAGAAAGCGGTGGGCTTGGCCCGAGTTGCGTTAGGTTGATTTACTGATGATAGGTCTCAAAGATCTAGGTCCCAAAGGGAATATAACGTTCGATTTACATTGGCTAACAAGCTTTTGTATTCAGATTTTTTACAGTGTCACAATCTCCGCAACTATCAACCAGTATCCAACTCAATATGTCATATTTACAGTCCTTGGATCTCTTTCAACCTCTCTGGCCTCATGTCCCTATCGCATATGTCTTTTCTGCCCTTTCCAATTTCTCAATCATCATCTAAAAGATGGCCATTGCATTTGGGGGTGAAGAAACCCCTCCTGGCATATTCAATGGCATCGATGTTAGGAAGAAGGAATATCTATTTAGTTCGCGACAGGTACGAGACAAGGCCTCAAGATCAAATATTTCACCTGTGTGGGTAATAAGTTAGCAGGCATGATTGTTAAATTGGAAGGATTTCTAGTTGCGCGCCATCTCTTTATGTGACATACGAAATAAGGCGTATAAAAGCGAATGAAAATTGGATACAAATCAAGCTCAAAGAGAACTCCAAAATCCAGGTAAAAGACTTACCAATTGGCATTCCCCATCCTCCGAGCAAATACTCATGACAGCTAAGCTCTCCCTGCGTAGGATAAACCTCCCAGCTTATAGCATCGCCTGCCACAGCTGATATCCCACTATCCCATAACCACTCCAATAACTCGAAGCTAGGTTCGACGCCAGCATGTTCGGGGGTACTTTGGAATGCATATTCCTGTTTTTGAGAATCGGTGAAGCTATCCCATTCCGGAATTAGACCCATGCGGATAAAGAGAATATCACCACGTTGAGGGGTTATATTTTGATCGGCGAGAATCGCGACGAGCGTTTTGAACGGGATATTGTGAAGAGAAAAGTTGGTGTACTTGATGGGTGGAGATTGTTGGGCGCACCAGTGAGCGTAGTCGATTAAAATACCACGGCCTGGATGTAATTGTGAACGTTATGAAGATGCGAGATGAAACGGTGAAGTAGGAAATGTGAAGACAAACCAGCAATTCCTTCAGATGCCCAGTCTTGGAGCCCGATACGGTGATTCGATGTATCCATAATCTCATCTTTCGTAGTGCCGCCATAGAACACTCGGTCCTGTGATGTAGAGGGGTCGGAAGTATTTCGTGGCTGGGAGTAGTGACGAAAGCCATCCCATTGACTGCTTTGTTCTTGTGTTATAGGTCAGCCAATGCTTGTATGATATTCAAAATATGTAAAAGCTAAAATTGGGATTGAGAGCTGTAGTTTTATATGTCTTGTGGAGGTGTGACTTGATTTTGTCATGATCTCAACCGGCAGAACTCGAGGTAAATATACTAGGTAGCAACAAATCGTGGGTTTAACCTGCCTCTTTCAGATGGATGCTTGCCCATCATCTAATTGAGAATCTCAGAGCAAGAAATCTCCGATTGATAGATTTTCAAAGACACGCTAACGATATCAAACTAACAAGAAGCATTGCAATGACCTACGGGGATTCATATGATAGACATCATCAAAACATGCTCCGTATCAACTCCCGCCTGGTCCATTCAGTGGAATAATCTTATGTCCACATTTCTGTCGTCCAAATTGGGAATACTCCAATTTTGTCATGTCCCATCCGAGACCTACTCTTTTACCCGTCTTGATCTCTGAAGTTGCTGCCGAAGAGACTATTTCGGGTGTGAGAAGGGATAGGCGACCTATGGGGTTTGTCAGGTGATGGTCCAGAAAGGTGAAGAGATTCTTACCTATCCCTTCAAGAGTAGATCCAGGCTCCCCTATCCATACTCTTTTGGGGTTTGGTAATTTTGAGAAAGGGGTATCGTAGATTGAGGGGTCGTAACGCGGGGTAGTAGAATCCTTCTCGGTCATGGTAGGAATATCAGTAACCAATATCGCGTTTCTGGGAGTTTCTATCACTGAAAGAGGCCCTAGATCTTATCGTGAAGTTAAGAAAGAATCATACAATCTAAAACACAAAAGTTCCTCCGGTTGCTAAATATATTTATTGAATCTCTGGAGAACATCACGTGTGACATCCCCCACCCGTCCTACCTTCGGTAACTTGGTATAGTGATGTCCGCCAATCATCGTCCAAGTACGTGTTTGGGGTTTCATGCTTATCACAACGTCCGAAAAGTATGAGGAACATCCAGTGACAGATATAAAATCCTTCGGCTATGGCTTGCGCTATATTTCGAGTGAGAGGGTTATGGTACTTACTTGGGCATCAGTATAGAATGTTTTGCTTTGCCAATAAGGTTATTCATCGGGATCAAATTCTTCCGGCGAACTCCTTGATCTTTCTCTTGGTGTTACTTGGACATATTGAATAGCTGTTATGGAGCGAGTAATTCGCAAGAGGTGTGATATAGGTCATGGGCTCGCAGTCTATAGAGCACGGGTGTGCTCATATTTATGTTCTTGAAGTGTTTGGCAAGAAGAATTCAGTCGTGGACGGGTTGTGCGAGGGTCTAATAATGGGAAATCTTGAAATCATATGTACAAGTTCTACATACAATCAGCTAGTGCTGTGAAACCTCCAAAAAATGTTCACTCGAATCAAATGACGCTATTTCAGTAATGGATATTGACTTTTGATATAACTAACTCAGACGTCAAGTCTGGGAAAAACTACACTAAAAGTACCTCTGCAATTATTTTCGAAATACCAACGTTTAGTCAAAGAGCCTTTGTTATCATCCCGAGATCCAGCCCCGAGATCCATTCCCTGATTCTTTCATTGAAAGTTTGCTTTAGTCGCCAATTCAGAGTTTCCTTATCTTCCTTTCTAATAATTCCGTCCCCCGCCACCATCATTATCTAGATGCACGCCCAATTTCGAGCTATGGGCAAACTCTTCTGATGTGTAGTCTGGCACTTTGGGTTCAAGTATTCGCCTCATGAAACCCATTATTTTTGCCTATATGAATTCAGTTAGCATGGCCGAAAGGCTTTGATGAAAGGCATGGTCTTACGTGCCTTTAAGGTGTTGTTCTCACGTTTGTACTTCTCTACTCGTTCCTCAAAACCTAGGTTTACACCTACCAAATCCTCAAACGAAGCCACAACCTGAGTCACCAACTCAGTCAATTCCTTTGGATGCCTTTCTTGTTTAAGCTTTAACTCGCGAAGGCCCGAGATAATTTTGACTCTTTCTACATCCATGAGTTGCACCCAAAAATCATCAGGATTCTCGATATAACATGACATGCTGTCGCCGTATCTCTTAGCATAGATGTTGATATTTCCCAGCTGATGACGGAACGATTCGAGTATCTTCTCTTTATGTTCGAGCATCTTCTTTTCATGTTCGGGCCTCATTTGCTGGCGCTGATGGTACTCAGCTTCCCACATTTTACGATTATCCATCGTGAATTTAGAGAAGGGATGCACTGTAGGATTTCTTCGACAACCCGATGCAGAATTGTAAAGAAGGGAGCAGTAACAGCCGTTTGTTGAATATGATATTAATGGTTGTTACAATGGTTCTCCACCAGGCTGATATCTACGAAGACAGACAGATATGGAAGCTGACAGTATTTGAGTGTAACTCGTGTAACTTGATATTGTTTCTTGGGCTCTTCGGTGTCTGGGGAAAGTTTTGCGTAAACAAGATATTCTAATACATGTGTCTTTATGTAGTAAGTAAAATCACTGGTTTGTTGCTTGATATTTTGTAAAAAGAGTGCAAAGGGAGAAAGTTCAAAATAGTTGTGGGCATTTCTCGAAGTGTGTGTGAGCCAGTGGATACTTTGAATGACTGCAATAGGGTTGACCGAATCATGATTACACCACTTTCTATTATCGTATATGACTCGAAATCATGGTCAACTCAAAGCTTTTTCTTTTACAGATTAGATTGCCCTGAAATTTGTGGCACTTGAAGATTTATCACGGGTAGGCTATCGGTACATGAGACAGGACTGGCAGAAGCCCACAGATTTGTAAATACATAATTGGTGAATAAGGTGCTATTTTTTTTGATCACTGAATTCGGTTCCTGTGGCCGAAAATTCACGAGAAGTCATTCACATCTGCTCACAAGATTGTACTCACTCTGCGCATCTATGTTAAATTCCACAAATAAACACAAGGATACACCAGTATTTACAGATTCTTTATTCTCACAGCACAAAGTCCATAAATCACACTGTATTCAACCTTCAAGATGTTTACCCACTCTTCTATTCCTGCCATTACCATTAACGGCGAAGATCTATCACAGGCCTATGAGGCATCTTCCATTGCAAACGACACAAGCAGCCAAGAAGCTATCAAGGATGGACTTCACTCATGTCCCAACACGCTACAGGGTAATGCCCCGGTTGTGGCACCTACAAAGAAGCGCTGTGATGTTCTCAGAAAAGTCATAAGAGGCACATCAAAGGTAATCAAAGCCTTCACCAGTACGTATAATCTCCTCCACAAGATCTGGGATCAAAGAATAGGTGCTGATCTGCCTTTCAAAACTCCTGCAGGAGTTTAAGAATCATATCGCAGTGGTGCCAGCAAAGTCAGCAGAACGAGGGGAGATCATAGTATTGGTATCTTAGTGTGATGCCCCTTTACTATTATCCGAATTGTGAAAAATATGAAGATATGGCAGCTCAGTCCTAGTTGGGTGTTGACGTCTGAGGGTGTACAGGCAGGGCTTCAATCTTATCGGTCATTGGACATGAAGAAACGATTTTTTTCACAGCCTGATGAGATATAAATGGTGCCTTCAACTTGGAGAGGAGACAATATGGATCAGCGAGATCTTATGACTAGTAGAATAGCAGTTTCTGACTACCCATGACTGTTCACTTGTATCGTACAATTCATCATCCATGTACCGTTTTATGATTCTCTGAAACGTGTAATGGTCCCCGACTTCTCCAGATTTGCATCTTCATTATGGATACTGATTTTTCTCGCACGTCGAAAAATAATCCAACAATCTCAAAGAACTTCTGCCACTTCGTACTTCCATAACAACCCAAGTCGTTCGACGCAAGCCGTCCACCACGGCAAAGCTTTCTCGGAACTTTTCACGTCTCATCAGCACTATTATTCCTGCTTCATACTACACCAGATTCAACAGATGTAAATTCAACGCGCAGTCATCTCATACTTTCTGGCTGGGGAGCCTAGTACACCTGCTTTGTTGAATAACATAGTCCAAGATGCTTCTCAAGCAAGTATTGCTCGGCAAATCATTCGTCTTGATAATCTCTTGGTAGAGGCTCGAAGCTGTTAGTTTGGGGAATGGAACAAGTTCGGCTCTTTTCTGGGTATTGGTATGATAATTTAGTGCACAGATAGAGACTGGAATTGGCAGTGAGGTTAGCAAGTAATCTAGGGTTTAGACCAGAAGTCACTGCTTGATACCCTCTCCGTGTGAGTTCTGGAATTGAATAGTGCACGTTAGCTGAGAAGATAGGTACAGTGGGCGCGGTACTTGTGGGCTGGGATATATCTAGTTGGAGGAGTGGCAATCGATCTTGGGCAAAATTATGCATGCCTTTGATAGTTTTTAAACACACAGATGAAACTAAATCCAAACCTCACTAAGTAGAATCTTTTATCACAGTGAGTGCATCTTATTGTACCTTTGTATTGTCACTCAGTAGAAGGCTTGACTGGATTCTAGCGTTTCGCGATGAACAGTCACGACCCAGCCAATTTAGAGTCATAAATGATTCTTGAGAGCATTCATACCATGACTGAAAGTAAAATGAATCATCCGCAATTTCCTTTACCTTTTCCACAAAACCCTTCGCTTTCTCCCCACCCTCTCCTGTTCTACGACAAGATACAAAGAATCCAAGCACCGAACGTCACAAATTGCACAACTTGCACAAATTGAGATAACTTCCCGATTCAAGTCAACATAGTCGAACCAAGCACTGCCAGTTGTTACCAAGTATGATATGCCCTTAGTTAGGATAGAGGTTGTCGCTAATATATAAAAAAGATCCAGATAACCATTTACATATCTTCACCTCGTCGAATATTGAAGCTCAATACACACTTGAAACAATCTTCTCCCCGAGTGTTCTTGGTAAGATTTTCTCTTTGAGTTTTTTTCAGCTTATCTAATTGTTAATCCAGAACAACTTCGAAATGAAGACAAATCAGACCATCAGGACCTCTAAGGCAAAGGCATTGGATGAGAAGTCCAAAGAGATAAAAAGGTTGGTGGTGAAGGCATCGAAGCTTGAGGTGATGAAAAACAAGCAGGAGTCGGCACTTTCGCAAATCAAAAAAGAAAATGATGAAACAAAAGACGAAATCTCAAAACAACGGGCTGAAATTTCGGCTTTGCAGAAAGCAAAGGCCAATGGATGGGTTGAAGAAAAGTCTAATTAGGACCAAATAATGATATGGTAAGCTCATAGCAGCGATATAAGTCCATTTACTAACTACAAATAAGGAGATCCGACAACACCATTCCGTAGATACTATCACGGGTACTGGATGCTTGGGATGGGAGGGTTGACTCGTAACACAGAAAGAACTGCCTGACTTTTGGATATTTATTCTGCAATACCTAGTGTAATAGAAATTAAATCCACCATGTAAAATGCGATCCCATTGTGCAATCTTACGGTGCAACAATGACATGGTCTTTCAATGCTTTCTCGGGCATCCAACATCAACTGCTTTGATTCTAATTTATATTGAGTGAACCTATCACTGGCTCACTATCCAAATTCCAAAGTCCAAAGCTAAATTTGTATTCCAATACCACTCAAAAACTCAAGTCTCCGGTTCCTGTACTGACAAGATTGTCACCCAAGAGGGGCAAATTTCGATTCAAACAAGACTGATGCAACATCGTAAGTCAATTTGAGGATTAGAAAGGTTACTAAGATGAAGCCATTCGATATACTATACCCAATATAGTACGTAGGTAAGGCTTGAATTGGGGTGGAGTTCCTTATGATGAAGCTAGTTGGTTTGAGTCTGACCACTGCTGAATGAATTGCTCAAGTCCATCAATTTAACTTACATATACTTTGACAACTTCCTGAGTTCACAGGACAATGCTAAATAATATCTTAATTGTCGCTATGCGAAGACATAAAATTGCTCAAGAAGGTCTGAAAAGTCATACGAAGAGGCAGATAAAAGAAAATCATACCAGAAGCCTCCTGGATACGGCCCAAACAACGATGAGTATATAGCAGCTTTTGAAGGAGACAGGGAGTTTGATTGAACTTTGAATTCTTCACAGGAAGACACATACTCTCGAAATCTCAAAGATTTTTTGGTCAAGAAACATCGAGTTCTGATGAGGTCCATGGTGAGAATTGATGGCTTTGGTCCAAAAGCGACGGTATGGCAACTACTGCGGAAAATGGATGAGGCCTTGAATAATTATAAAGCACTCGTGTGGTCCTAAAACTACTAGGTACTAGTTGATAATGAAGCATCTTTTCGAGCAAAGAAATTCTGAAGCAAAAGAGTCGACAGAGCAGCTAAACCTTCAAAAGGAGAACTCGGGTTCTATCAATCTGCAACCAATTATCAGCTCTGATGATGCTCAAAACAATAACTTTGATTCTTCATGTTAACAGCCAGATATCACTCTTGAAGGAAAATTTCATGCAAAAAATTGGACTGGACGATATGTTTCGGGGGTGGCGGGCTATAGTTGACCAAACTCATGAGCTGCTACATTTTGCACAGCTTCGGTTTAACTTTGATAACCACTATATCAAAACATATACCCAGCATCCATTTTGCCCTAATTTCTTTGGCATTGAACAAATTTATACGCACCCAGATTCTTTACGAAGTCATGTGCGAGGTCTGTAAGTTGATTGAGATCTTGTGGTGTACACCCAGAGTCATTCGTACCTGCCATTTTTGTACTTTTGAACTCTCAATCTTTATTTTGATGTCGACCTTCCCTCCCAACACTTTTCACAACCCCATCAACTCATTCATCTAGATGCTCATCAAAAAAACCCTTTCTGGCAATTTATTCGGGTTACTTTACTTCGTTTTCTGGTGCCCTTTCCTCTCACCATTGTCACGCTCGTACAAACTTTGACAACTAAAGCATTCGAAGAAATCGCACAAACTTAAGCAAGTGAGTGGAATTTAGTGATCAGCAGCGAGTAATTGAAATCTGACCCCTTGAAATCGCAACTGGGATACTGTTACAAAGATTGGGGCTAAACAATTCGAAGAATAGCACAAACTCAGGCGTTCAAGGAGTTCATAGACGGGCAGCAGATAGTCCTGGCATTTCTACACGCTCTTCTTCTCTCAATCACCATTCTAAAACGTTTCGGAAGCAATCACTTCATTCTGAGATAACTCTCGGAGCCCTGGGACTTGAAGATCCTAGAATTTACGCAGCGAATCATCCTTGAACGATTTTATACTAGCATCCTATTTGCAGCCACAGTTCTCCATTTGGCACAAGCACCGAAACTCAAAGCATTCAAAGAATAGAAGAAGCCTGGGCCCTCGGAGACCTCGAAGACCTCGAAGATAGACGGCGGACAATCCTCAAACAATTCTATACTTCAGTCTCCTCTTCGACCAGATTGGCTTGATTCAACTACTTCTCAATCGCGCAATGTCGAGCATCGAAAAACAAATCAACGATGAACGCCGCGTCGCACATCTGCTGTGTGCAGCAATCGATTCGCAACTGGAACTCGAGAAAGCCACGGAAAAATTGATTAAAAATGTGTATAAAGATTTGAAAAGAATGGAAGCTGCTGGTTGCTCAAGTGAAGATTGGATCACAATGTTTGACACGGCACAGCAATTAGTTGATACTTTGGGAATGTTGACTGTTGATGAGAGGCGCATATCCATGATTGAGAAGAGAAAGGTGATTGTCGAAGCCGAGAAAGAATTCATGAATGGAAGACAGCCGGAGGAAGATATTGAAGAGTACCTCGAAGTATTATTGAAGGAGATACATCCCAATTTGGATCAGATTAGGGCTGCGGCTAGATTAGAGGAAGAGGAACTACACGATTTGTTTGGGTTGTCAAAGCAAACCGCCAAACCTCATAAGCTTACGTTTGATGGAAAAATGAAAAAGACAACTGTTGATGAAGGGGAAGATATGGTAAAGAGAAAAAATAAGAAGAATAAGAAGAGGGGCAAGAGAGGGTATGAGAGAAAGGCAGGAGCCTATGGTCTCTCGACGAACAATTGAGGGATCAACGAACCCTATCCTCTCATTTCATACTATGAAAGTGAATAAGATTGATGTTCCACATATTGAAAGAGGCGGATGATTTTGAGCCAATGCTTGAAAGGTTTCTCGATTACACCTACATTGGATGGATGCTTGAGTAACTTTATGCTTTCGAGTTCTGCAAAGCTGCAGCTATATATTGGACTCATGTGTCATTCGCTGGAAAGTGTTAAGCTTATTTTCGTGTCAAGTCTATGATACTTATATACTGTGTACGAACAATGTAGCGTCAATTGTGAGGAGAGTAGGAGTTTTAAGATCATAATTGGTAAGTTCTGGGAGAGCTATCATGACTTAGCATGGGTGTATTTGCTAGAGATGCTTTATCTGTACGGTGGTGCGAATTCTTTCCACACTACAATATTCTTGGTGCCTTCGGAGGATGTTTATTTGCACAGGCGCTTGTACTCTATTCAAGTCTAGCAATTTGAGTCCAATTCAATTGCATTGCGTGTGATCATTTTTATTGTCAATATATATTTCCAGTGGTGTCAATGTTGAGCATCACTCACATTGTGGTGTTATTTTCATCAATTCACTAAAATCAAACCACTTTATGAGTCAACCGAGTATCCCTATTCATAGGAGCTCCTAATCAACTTAAACTCCTTGCTTTCCTTCTACATATGAACCGCGACAGCAAATACTTCGGTTTTTATCAATTTAATCGATTAAAGTACAGAACCTAAGATCAAGAAATCTTTCATCAACTTGATTCATCATGAAGCCGAATCACACGACATCTACCACCAATGCGCCATTTGTCGATCTCGGACTTCTCATGGACATCAATCATCAAATTGAAGCCCAAAGACCAGAAGAAAGGTACAGAGATTATAGAATGCGCGTAGAACACATAGATAGCATGATTCCGCCTATCACTAGCTCTGAGAAACAAACCGTGGCTACACTCGAGGGATCGGAAGACGATAGACTGTCTTCTGAGACACTGTCTGATACGGAAGAAACACCAGAGATCATTCCAGAAACTCGAGCTGAAACTAAGAAGAGGAGACGCCAGGAACTCCTGGATAATTATGATGCGGAATCGTACGAGCTGGCCGTGGATGGTCTTCTTGAGAGTCAGATTAGACACTACGCGGTGCTGCAGCGATATGAATTGGTTCCTACGCAAGCAAAAGAAGATACAAATAATAAGGAGCATACTTGGAGTGAGAATAGTGAAGGTTTGAATTCATTCAAACTTGTGTTTCACTGGTCTTTCACTAACGCTTGGTCTCTAATCACTAGAATCAGACCCTGTGCCAAGACATGGTGATTCTCTTTCCAATCTACCCAGTTCACAATTCTCGATTAAGAGCAAAATTCCTAAATTGTTCCATGGCGAGAATAATGTGAGCGCAATTGGGTAAGTCGTTGCTGGCACTACAAGTCCATTCATACGAATGTTATAAGGAGATCTCGCTAATAATCATGTAGAAAGAGTGGGTCTGGCGTCACAAAGAAAGGTCACGTTGCCAAGAAACGGGCAATTATCAGTAAGTAGTACACGGAGCATTCGAGAAGTTGCCAGTTGCTAATCAACTTTCAAGACAAGAAGGATATGATCGAGTTGATGTTTAAGGGAATGGAGCATTGTTCCGGAGCTTAGTTTGAGAAAAGCATGCATGGAGGTCTAGATGGGGATCTAATGTGGGTTCTTGCAACTTCGAAGGTACAAATCAGGATTTTGGAATTCGAAGGCAGAACAACAATTGGCGTGAGAGTTGGCGGTATATTCTTAAGCGGGCGACTTAAATTTCATCAGTCACATCGCCAGGTATAATAACCGAGTTAGTAGTCATCAGTACAAGAAGCAGGCTTCCTTTCCGGAGATATTTTTATTAGTCTAAAAAAGCATATCTTCATTCAACTACTATTGCTTTCATTGAAATCACGCATATTTGTCGTGCTTCCTAATCTTCGGGTGCACTTACATGAATACTGATATTTTAATGCGCTTGTCATCCAGGCTGCTTCTTTGAAGCACTTCCTCCACAGTGGGCACCTTGATTTGATGGTGTTCTCTGAATTTCTGGATGTGAAGATGTGAAACCAAGCAACAATGCTGAATTTCGTCGCACGGTGTTTCGACAACAAAGACAGATAGGTCAGGAAGTTTCTAGCAGTAAGACCAGTTTCTGAAAATTTGGAAGCTCGATTCTCATCTGTCGTTGAAACCTTTATTCGAAAGACATGTCTATCCAATTCTGGAGCATTCTTAGAAGGTGCCTTAAATGATTAGAGTCAATCAAAGAATTATTTGTGACAATACATACCGGGCTCCAGTCACAACAATATTGCTGAAATATAAATTCAATTCATTCGCATTATGGCCAAGTATTTGGGAGTAGATTTCCCCGAAACGATGAATCGTGCAGAGGGAAAAGCTGCAGAGAGAACCCCCAAAAATACATCCACAGCACCGCGGAACCCTTTTCTGCCTCGAAATACGATGCTTAGAAGCTCCTCTATCATTTCCGGTCCAGCTGCGCAGCCACAAACCTTTCATTCTGGAGTTATAGCAAAAGGTCAAACATCCAGATTTGTGGAAGAAATTAGCAGCGATGAGGACTTAAAAAGCTTGGTGAAAAGTATGGGGGCGGCTAAGACCTTCGATGAAATGCCACTGCCTCCTGGGAAAGTAAGGTCAGCAACTGCATGCGAGGATCAGACTAAAGTGAGTGATTCTTGTGAAGCAGATTCCAAAAGACACTACTGACACTTTCTCATAGGCTGAGGAAGCTGAATGCTGGTTCAGGAGATGTGGGCTGATGTAGATTGTCGAGTGGAGTACGGATGTTATCACGAAGTGTTGGTGGCAATGGGACTGCCGATGCCACCAGTTTCTGGCATATGTATTCCTTGGAACTTCAAATTTGGTGTTTTTTGCTTTCTTGTAGGGTTCTATAAGAATATGAGTACACCATTTTCTTGTAACGTTCCCAAATACCACGAACATAATGTGACTAGGGGTAAAGTAGATTCTCTAAGAGGGACGACGACATGCCTTTGATATGTGTGAGAAATATCTAACGTTCAAGGCTCTTTACCTGATAACCTGAATTTTGCTGACCCTCGGGAAATACTGGCAATCTCGGGTGTAGTTTTATGAGATAAATCAAGCCGTGATCGGCTTTAGATCTGTATTTACTACAATACCACCAGGCTAATGATTATGTGTCAGGACTACAACCTCGAATAATACCTCTTCTGAATAACAAATTAACTGCAAATTTCTACAGTATCTAGTATTTTCTGACTTCTTTATACCACTCAAAGGGGATATTTTAATACATATCTAGGTACTTTGGCAATGCCAGAACACTGCTTCACACCTCCCAGCTCTCGCTATCGCAAGGATGCTTTTAATAACTTTGAGTGAATGACTATCCCCGCAGGTCATTTGGTGGCTGAAAATTATATGAGAGTCATTTCCACTCTATCGTGAACAGCCCATCCAGTAATGAGATTCATTCACAGCATTAGCACATTGAATATCCATAAAGCTTGCTACATGTTTCTTAAACAGATAATCCCCTCACAAATAAACACAGAACCATATAATAACCTGCAAACTTCACAAACGCAGGAACAATACATCCAGCAATACTACCTCAGATCAAGGTAAGTCTATGACTTAGTCAACGAAGCTAAATAGCCTGCTCACCATTCTCATAGTATATCAAATCGAAATAACGCCATGCCTGAAAAAGAATCCAAGACTTTGCCGAAGATGAATGTCTCTTCGGCGTGGACTCTACTACAGAAAGTGTCGACACTCGTCAACAATCTTTCGAAATCCCAGGAAGAAGCCCAGTTGTCCAGAAATACGGACTCGCAGACAATCGAGAAGTTGAAGAATAAGGTAAAATCACTTGAAAACGAATTGAAGGGAGTCAAATCACTTGAAAAAGAATTGAAGGGAGTCAATCAAGACTTTGAAGGACGGATCAGGCAGCTCGAGAGCGCGATTTATCGTTCGAAGTGACCCGCCCCACGTGCGGATGGTCAAGACTGGAGTCTGAGCGGATCAACAACAACTTCAGAACGTTAGGAGCTTGCATACTTTGACAGTCGATTGAGAGATTTTGACAACAATCAAGATTGTGTTACTACCTAGGGGAATAGGTAATTGAGGACCAATGTACCATGATGGCGTGCTTGTGTAGGAATTGATAACTCAACGTACGGGAAACCTTTGGTGAGCGTTGTATTTGGGAAGGATCGAGTGTATGGGACTACATAGAGGTAAACTCATTACGTTTCATGGAAGGAATCTCATAACTTGGCTGCAGCCTAGATTATTCGAATTTGGTCAAGGACGAATTGTCATTTCATGGAAGTCCCGGCGACCTGAAACCATGAGTTAGTGGGACAATTGCAATATACATTTTCCAATGAAACAACATAAATTTTCGAGCATTTCTCATCTTCCAGCCTCCACTTTCACTTATCATGACTTACCAAGTGATTGTGTATATCCAAAATTTCGTGCCAGGGTTAACAAACAGAGTAGTCGGCCAACTAGCCAGTCAACAGCACCGGCTTCCAGCTGTTGAACGAAGCCAGCAAGCTAGAAAATTATCTACAAGCACAGTAGCTTTTTCGCTGATAGCTATATACTCAACAAGGCCAATTACAGACTTTGTGAAGTTGCTCTGAATTTTGGTTGTCTGAACAACTTTTGGACGGCTTTAGGATTATTCAAGATATAGTTTGTGGATTATGTTTTGGAAGAATGAATTGTTGATATTGAATTTACAGTTGCATACAAGAATTGAGCTCAAAGAGGTTTGGAAATGAGAATAAAAAGTACATCATTTTTCTAATCTTCCTGTCACCAAACGACCACTGTGTATGTAAAAGCCAATCAGAAACTGCTCAGTAATGCTGTTGAAGGTTCATTACCCACAGCGAGTGAATTTACTCAGCCCATAAATTGTCAAGGTGTATGATTCCACAAATTGTAGTATTTAATTACACAAAATAGCGGGCATTCATGACAATCTGCCATAAAAGAGGCACAAATTCTCTTTGAGCATCCAAACTTAAGCAAAGAACACCAACCACCATATCAAGCCCCAATTCCCACAGTCGAACTGGAATTAAGCAATCACACCACCAAGCATAGTGCCACGAGCATCTCACCAATTTACCAACCACCAACTCCTTCCTATTTCATTATTTGATTCAAGAATCATCATCATGCCTGAGAAGGGACGATTCGCAAGTGCCACAGATGAACAATTGAAAGATGTCAAGTGGTTGAGGGCCCATTTCAAAGAACTTCAACAAGCACAGGAAAGACTCGATGTTGCAGAGAAAACCATCCTTGAACTAAAGACTTCAGTCAAAGAGCTTTCTGAAAGCGTCAACAAGCTTAAGTCATAGATAAAACCATTCTTTGTAAGTATCTCTCCCATAAAAGCCAAATCGATATGGTTCTCTGAATTCTCACAAATGCCCTAGGCTAAACGATGACAGAGAATGAAGGTGATTCATTTGACGGCATGACAATCTTGGGGTGGTGGAATTTATATCTTGGAGAAAATGGGGCTGGTTGAGTCTGGTAGCTGAATTGAAGACCGAAATTCTTAGGGTTATCTTGTAGTGGCTCCACAAGGTCGCCAATGTAAAGATATTGTTTGGGCTCAAGGATCAGGAGCTAGCAAGATATAGAATGGAATGGTACATCGCGAATCTCAAACATAGTCAATAAAAATCGAACATCGTGAGGTCTTAGCAATGCCACACCAGTTCACGTTCAGTTGCATACTTCTGCTCTGGCATTGAAATGGCTAGACTCGTTGCGTGAATAATATCCAAATATTCAAGCGCGCGAGTCATAAGTTTCATGTCCATAGTTTGACTTCTATAAGATATCATTGTTATGTATTAGAATCCCATATATCTGCGAGGAACCGTTGGGAAGAACCAAAGTTCGCAGCTTTAATACACTCGCATGGACAATTAAGTCATATATCTACGCATCATCGTTCGTTATGGGGGAGACGATAGAGCTTGAATGGCAATGCCTATATATTCCAGCATGGGTTGAGCAATTCGGTCCAAAATGAATGACTGTGGAAGAGGTTCATTGTTGTGACTGTCTTCCAGCAATTATGACTGAGTTTCTTCTCCGTGAAAAGTCAACTCAAGGGCTGCTTCCTCCACATCATTCCTTTATTTCACAACCAAACAATTTGAGAGATAAAAAGCCAACATATCTTCGCATACCAATTCCAGAAAATTCTCCCGAATCACTCTCTTATTCAAGAACAGCTCAACATTCTAACCACGAAAAATCTGAAACATTCGCAACAGAACTGCATTTCGAAGTCAAGATGTTCTCCCCCGCCGAAGATTTCCAAGGTCAACCCACTGATAACGCGCTGGAGAAAAGCGAGAGTCAGAAAGTGTCGATCGTAAAGCACTGCCTACGAAGTAGTCTTCAAAGAGAGGAGAACGTAGCCAAAATGGTATGTCCACCATACCCCTACAGACAAGTAGTACTTGCTAATAAATGACAAAGACAGCGAGAGGTGAGCGAAATGGTTCTAGCTCTGGCTCCCAAATGCCAACAACTTTCTCGGGATCGAAAAAGCCCAACGCTAGATCAAATACTTTTTAGATTGAGCGTTTAGTTTATAGAATATTCTTATATCGTATTTGGCCGTCTAGCCCGCTTCCCATCACTTGAAGTAAGGAGCCAGCACGCGCATTTTTTGGTCATTATCGTTGGTTTAGTATCAGGTGCGCAGTTAGGAGCGGGTAGCCGGTTCTTGAATTGCAGATGTTGAATTTGGCATCGATTAATTCGATTCCAAAATGCCAGTATAAATCTTTGTCGGTCTATTCATTAGTTTAGAGGCTCAAGCTCTGGTACGAGTGGGTAATCTAGTCTTTAGAACGACGGCATTGGATGTTGGTGTTCTATCACGTAAATAATCCACCGTATAAAGAAGAAAAAACCGCTATGAAATGCCTTTTGATTTAATGTATAAATCTATCCTCATGTGCGCCCCGTTCCAGTAAGCCCACAATGATATATGCCGTGCTCCAGTATTCCAATATTTACATCTCCCCGCCACGTAATCTCGTTTTTTATACACTATCTAACCCCAAGTCTTAAGTGCCTTCATGCTTCCCTCTTGATCAAATGCCTTGTGCATGTCGAAGCTGTTCCACAATAGATGGGGCTCGTGACCCCAGCCTCTTCTCATACACTCGAACTCGGCCTTTCTGAAATAATCTTCCAAGATTGGCTTATAATCTGGGTGAGAGCACTTTTCAATGATGACCTTGGCTCGCTCTTTTGGACTTAATCCTCGGACATCAGCAAGACCTTGTTCAGTAACGACAACATCCAAATCATGCTCGGTTTGATCGACGTGTGTGCACATAGGAACGATGCAGGAAACACCGTGAGCATCAGTCTTAGATGGCCTAGTAGATGGTGTGTGCATGATACTGTATTTAGAAGAACGGAGGAAATCAGCTGAGCCACCGAGGCCGTTCAACATGCGAGAGCCCATGACATTTGTGCTGTTTGCATGTGCGTAGATATCGACCTCAACTGGTGTGTTCATTCCGATAACTCCCAGTCTTCTGATGATCTCAGGGGAGTTAGAGACTTGCTGTGAGCGAAGCAAAAGTTTATCGAAGTATTGCTCCCATCCATCGTAGAAGCGCTTGAAACCATCTGGAGAGAAACGAATAGATGTTGCGGTTGCAAAGTCCAAACGTCCAGAATCGAAAAGGTCAAGGAAGGTATCTTGAAGCACCTCTGTCCAGACTTTGAGGTTCCTAAAGTTAGATTCGGCCAGACCACCAATGACAGCATTGGCAATGTTTCCAATACCGGACTGAATTGGAAGTAGGTTCTTGGGAAGTCGGTCATGCTTCACTTCGTGCTCAAGGAATTCAATCAAATGAGCAGCAATTGCACGCGATGTAGCATCTTCTGGCGCATTTGGTACAGTTTGATCTTGATAATCAGATTCGACGATGGCAACAATCTTCTCGCTATCAACAGGGATTGCGGTTGTTCCAATACGGTCCTCTGGTGCCATGATCAAGTATGGTTTCCGCTTTGGTGGAAGCTCGGTCATGGTGATATCGTGGAGTCCCTCAAAAGAAGGCATAGAGGTGTTGACTTCAACAATGATCTTGTCCGCCATTTGAATCAATTCTGGTGACGCTCCAACAGAAGCTCCTGGAATAATACCGCCATCTTCGGTAATAGCTGTAGCTTCAACAATAACCACATCCAGCTTTTTGTTGGGACGATCTTTTGTGTAAAATCCATAAACCAAATCTACAGGAAACATAGACAGATGTTTGTCGAAGAAATTGATGTTGCCATTGTTGATGCCCTTTGCAATAGCCTTTCCGACCTGATGAGGACTTCGTCGTTCGATCATATTCAATTCTGCCCATCGATTTTCCGTTTCCGCTCCAGAACTTGCACCTACGAAAAGGGAGTACTTGAGCTTGCCCTGTAAGTTGTTCTTCTCTACGTGATCTGCGAGCATTGTTGGGATCTTCCTACACGGTTTCGGTCAGTATTGGTATCCAGCTGAATCAATCATGTGCCATCGTTTGACCCCTCTCTGGACAAGCACCGCAATACAACTGCAATTGTTACTTACTTAGGATATCCAACACCCGTGAACCCAGACCATCCAATGTAAGCTCCATTGGGGAACAAAGGGATCAAATCTTGAGGATGAGCAAGCTTCTTAAGCAAAGATGGTCTCCTAACTCGAGATTTCAATGCAGCAGAAGCTGTCAAAGCTGCCGCAGATGCCATCTTGAGAAGATTGAGCTAAAGCGGAGGTATAAGCAAAAACAAAGCGAAAAAGAAAACAAGAGAGGAGATGAGATTCAGAAAATGAGGATTGAAGGTGGGAGATATCTACGTATTTAATAAACCATTGTATGATCTGTTTACTTCGGCAAGTATAGTCAAATTGTAAAGCTCAACCGGGTTCGCTGGGACGACGGCGCCCCGCAACGATCGGTTACAAGGAGATATTTCACTCCGTCATCGCAATAATTCGGTTATTCGGTAACATATCAAACACACTGACACAGCATTGTACTGCTACAGTGCTATTGCCAACTCTATTGGAGAGTCATGAAAACTCAAGGAATCATCTTTTATTGGTGGAAAAGGTTGAAAGCATGGAATTCTTATTAACAGATATCAATCCCATAGCTGGGTGTAATGACATTATCAAATTACGTTAGAGAAAGTTTACTTGGCAGTTCCAGCAACTAAACAAATACCTTTTGCCAGTACCTAGTAGCCAGTCTCACTCAATTAAGATCATGTCGTCCAATGCTGATTTCATTACACATCGAGTTCAAACCTTCATCTGAAGAATCATTATACATTTATTTCATTGACTTCATTCTCTATACAAATAGTTCAACGACGCCTTTGCTCCATATCCTCCTGTCTCGGAGGAGCCATATTCATGGCTTCTCTTGCTGCCCTTAACGCAGTCTGGTTTATTTTCAACTCTACACTATAGTCTCCAAATGCATCAACTAGCTCTCGAAGTCCGCTTTTGAGGACGGCGAGGAGCAGATCAACCTCGGGACTCTCCTGTCTCCCTTCTACGTCGGTCCAATGAGCCCCCAATCCGGTCCTAAAATCTTGCACCTGGAAAATTGTCTTTGTATATGTCTCCACGATATCCTTGATGTCCTTCTGTACTTTTCCATATTTATCCTCAACAAGACTACACACAGCAAACCTGGTTATCGAGTCGATAGCATCAATGATGATACCTAAATCGCCATGTGGTGTTCCCAGTACTACGCTTGCAATCTCCTTTCGATACTCCTGCCTGAATGGTTTTCCGAACGGTAGCTTGAGGATTATGATCGCCTGCTCCCGTAAAATGTTCTGAAGTCCTTCGGGCTGTTGGAACTTTGGGGGAAGTGCGGCTTTGATTGCTGCACTCTTCTTGTCGTCCTTCAACTGGCGGCGACGAGACATCTTATCAGGTGGTGATAATTCTCCCTGGCTCTTTGCAAATGAGCCTACAGCTTCTAAATAACGCCTGCTTCTTGACTCTGCTGGTTCGGATTTCTCAACGAGACCGCCCCTTGGTTCATCCTTGAGCGATTCGGTTAGTAAACGAGGGAGTGACGATATTGTTTCTGGGGTTCCCTGCTCCTCGTACACATTGATCACGGGTGCTTGTTTTTTAGGATCATATTCCTCGATACGCTGGTTGATTTCATTAACGGTTTCAAGGCATGTCGCAAGGATTTGAGACCAAGCTGAACCGCCAACGCGGTCAATGTCTTCAAAGATGGCTTTCCGCCTTCCTTGGTATCGCTGAGCAATTTCTACGAGTTCCCAAAATGCGAATGCCTGAATGGTATTAGTACAATCTAGTAGGAGCTGTAGGGAGAGACTTACTCTTGTTTGTAACTTTTTACCCTTTAATCCAGTTAACAAACTTCCATTTGGATCTCGAGATTCGTAGGTAATTGGTCTGTCGTTCTTCAAAGGCGCTTGCGCTACGTAAATAGAGAAAGCAAGATTTCCAAATTCCCACAATAGCGTAAGCATTAGCCCGGCAATGATCGTCCTAAGAACCATGGTCCAGTGAAAGGGTAACTCATTCGGAGGAGTGGCAGCCTTGGGCAAATTCCAGAAAATCTTTGCAAATGACCGAGTAAAACCCCAAACGCTCTCTCTGATATTGAAAGTGTAAATCGGTAAGATAAATGGGATGGGAAGGCTGATGTTCATAGAATAGATAAATGGAGATACCACTGCCATTATAGAAATACGCTTAAGACACTGAATGGCCAGAGGCATTGCCTTCGCTTTCAATTGTATCATTGGCAGTACGGTTGTGTGCGAAGGTTGCTCAGATGAAACTTCTGGCCCAGTCTTCGTAAGTGGAATGTCGATGCGATCATAGTCGTACCAAAGGTGGAATCCGGCTTGGACGAGAGCATTAAATAAAAGGAAGACGGTCAGATATATAGGTTTCTCGTTCAATATCGGTCGACTTGTTTTTGCTGCAAGCTTGATGCGATTAAGACCTGCGCTCTCAGAAACCGACCAAACGTATATCTCGCTGAAAAACCACGCTGAAAAGAGATACCAAAGTGCTGTCTGGACCGTCTGATATCTGGGCGCATATTGTGTAAAGGTGTGGAAGCTCGAGTTTGAGGTTCTGATTCCTACGTGTAATTGGGCTACTCGAAGGATGAATATCATAAATGCGCAGATGAAGAAGAGGCCGGTTCGGATGCCAGCTCTACCCAAAGGAAACCATGACCAAAGGACTACGAGACTTGATTAGCATTGTGTATTGAAAGTTGTGAAGCTGGAGAAGACCTACATGAATTCCATTCCCCAATCCATACCGCTTCGACGTAACATACTGCTGCTAAGACAGCGGTTGCCAAAGCAAATCTTCTGTGCAAGGCTGGAGTTAAAAAGTCCTTATAAGGACGAATCCTTACTGCGGGTGGCATTGGTGGAAATTTTGTGTAGATGTTACGTCTTAAAAGACTAAAACATCAATAGAAGAAATTAAGATCTATGAAAGGTCATTGATCATGTTGTCGTTGTTGAAAAATCAAATAAAGATAGCAATACACGGCGATGCTTTTGTTGATATTCAGTTTTCTAGGTAAAATAAATTTAGAGTTGGTTGACGCGAAAGGCACTTGGGCACTTTGGTGGGTGACCCGCCCTAGGTTGATAGGTAAGAGGTAAGGTACAGACCACACAGTACAGTACGTCAGCCAATTTAGGATATCACACATCAAACATCACTCGCCCACTCACCCACCCATCATTCCAGATTATCACAACTTTCGTGGGCGAAATAGGCAGCGAGCGAATTTGTACATAAAAATCATACAATATCTACACTCATTTGACACTCATTTGAAAACATCTCAAATCATCAATAACAACCAAATCATGTCTTTCGATCAGTTATCATCGTTAGAGTCGCAACCGACGACAATGCGAAGAGAGGATGATCCTCAATATGCGGACGATCCGGAATTCCAAAGATTATCGCAAGACCTTATGACAAAGCTCTTCTCATTGACAGGAAATATCTCAAGGCTTTCAAATGAAATAAACTTATTGGGAACGAAGAGGGACACGGAGAGGGTTCGGGAAAGAGTTCACGATCTCTTGGAAGACTCAAAGGATGCCTTCAAAGAGATTGGCGATGGCGTCAAGAAGATACAATCGTGGGAGGATGTAAATGTAAGTAATAAGATGTCCTGTATGATGTCAATGGGGTATTGATAGTCCATGATAGCCATCGCAAAAATATACTCAAACAAAACTTACGCGCGAGTTCCAAAACAACTTGACCGAATTCCAAAATGTACAGCGCCGAGCTCTCGAGAAACAACGGTCCTCTGCTACCGCAGCACGAACGGCAATGGAAGAAGCGCAATCACCAGGAGTCGAGAGTGGCAATCAGTTTGGGCAGCAACAATCCCAAGAGCAGCTTAGATTGGCTTCGCAGGATGAGGTTGATTTTCAAGATTCGTTGATAGTAGAGCGTGAGGCCGAGATCCGGAATATTGAACAAGGCGTCACTGAATTGAACGAGTTATTTCGAGATGTGGCACATATTGTCAACGAGCAGGGCGAGACTCTTGATTCAATTGCCAACAATGTCGAGAACGTACATACAGATACAAGAGGGGCTGATCTGGAATTGAGGAGTGCCGCTAGATATCAAAAGAATGCTCGGTCAAAGGCGTGCTGTTTACTATTGATATTGGCGGTCATCCTCACTATTATTATACTCGCAGCTACCTTAGGGTAGGCGCATTTCTTTGAAACGGTTCTATGTGTTAATATCCTTGGGGGAGTTTTGGCGTTTTCCCATGGCATCCTGCTTCCATGTCTTCACACTTTCATTGTCATTTGTACGATTGCCGGTCAGAATGTTTTTAGAACAATTTCAATAAAGCAAGAGAGGGTGATAGGATTAGGTATTTTGTCACAGTCCTATTGTCACCTACCTTTGAAACTAATATACGATTATTAAAACCCTCTGCATCTACGTTGTTCAGCTGTGATTGATTGGCTATGTTTGTCAATTGCTCCAATGATTTATGTTCCTAATGATGGCGGCTAAGATTAAAGGGAATCAGCGGCAAAAGCAAACTACATAAGTCCTAGCTAACAAGTGATTTTATCGGAAGATACGATTGATTGATCATAGTTCACCTAGGTAGGTACCTAGTAGTTGATATTGCTTGTTTTGTTCCCCTTGGAAGCCAATACTCTTCGCATCGAAACTCATGATAGCCTGACATCATCACAAGGCTTCGTCTGTCACTCAAGCGCGTTCTCCATCCTTTGGAAGATCCGCGTCGCCTTGTTAAAAAAAAATAAACAACATATTATCACATTAATACATATACTCATACTCGTACCCACTCGCTGAAAATTCCAGTATGGGTATCGAATTGGATCAAGCTAGCCTGCAAAAGGCTTTCCAATCTCGTCCAGATATACAGAACGCCATAGCGGCAGCATCACAAGGTAAAGTACATATCTCTCAGCCTTGCAAGAAAAAGATATGTAGATATAAAAAGTCGATAATGCGCCAACAACCATGGAAGAATTGATATTTTTGAAATTCTAACTAACCTATGAGCATAGCTGGTCCAGAATATATCGAGCTATTCAATCAAATTTCCCTATATGTCTGCGAGACAATAACTCAGCAAGCATCAGAACCAGCTTCAAAGAAACGTCGCATAGATGAGAGCCTCGCAAGTCGAAGTATCCCGAATAGCACAAATGGTACATCAAACAGCGTTGGAAGCGCGCCTGCTACTGGAGAAGATCCAGTCTTGCTTGAGATCAAAGAAATCTCGGTGGTAATACCGCAGCGCAAGAAATATAACCTCTGTTTCACATCAACACATCTCTATGCACGATTGCCGACCTCTGAGGAACCTGCGTCTGGCATAAGCTATGCCTGGAAGGACATTGGTACTCCTCTTACTCATAATTTACTGGAATTTTGCTGACTAGTATCATAGAATATATATTTTGCCTACCAGTCCCAGAGAAAACGCAAAAACAATACAATTACATACTCTTCCCCAAGAACTCTATTATATCACCCTCAAAACCTTCAGCATCTGCACAGCCCGTACCTGAGCCATTAGTTTTTACCATCACCGATGGAGCGCCAAAATCAGGGACTATTGCTGGAACAGATAGTTCAGCAGCTTCAGCTGTCTCCGATGACTACAAAACACTTTTTAACTGGGCTATTACCGCCCGGTTGAAGGCCGTCGGTAATGTCCTCAAGATCACTGAATCAGACCCTAAGCTTTTTGCGAGTACAGTCAAGCAAAGTCATCGACCAAGCGAGAAAGCAGTGCATGTCAAAGCATTCAGAGGATCTAAAGACGGTTACTTGTTTTTTCTACCTACTGGAATTCTATGGGGATATAAAAAGCCATTATTATTCTTACCACACAACCGCATTGCTGCACTATCCTTCACAAATGTCTTACAGCGTACCTTTAATCTTTCACTCGACATTGATATGTCAGTCTCAGGCGGCGAAGACACTACCGAGGAGATGGAATTTCAAATGATAGATCAAGAAGATTTCACTGGCATAAATGAGTATGTACAGAGATATGGATTGCAAGATAAGAGTATGGCCGAACAGCGTAAGGCCAAGCGATTGAATGTGAATGTGATGAAGGATGAAGAAGGAAACGTTGTAGGAAATGCGGAAGCGGGAGAGCTGGAAAGGGCAGCGCAAGAAGCGGAACAGGCAGCGATGGACGAGGAAGATGAGGATGAGGAAGATTATGATCCAGGGAGCGAGGGTGAGAGCGAAGGGAGTGGCACAAGCGATAGTGAAGAGGACGATGATGAAAATGGAGAGGGTGGAGGTGCTGGGGACGATGACGATGATGAGGGTGGGGAGGAGGAAGAGTTGTAGGAATAAAATGACTCATGTTTTGTCATCTAATCTGTGATCGGTGCTGAGTTTCTGGTAAGATATGCCATTTCAGAGCTTCAGTTAGACATATAGCAATTCGGGGGTACTAAATAGCTTTTGTATGAGTATATGAGTAGCCTTAAGGGTCAGAGTTGCATCAATCTAACTCGTGAAATAAGTGCGTTCTTTCACCTCGAATCTCGTGGATACTTTTTGGAATCTCAGTGTCAATATAGCCCTACTAAAAGTATTATGTCGTCTGAAAGGATCAAGGAGGATCACACTTTCAAATTGAAGCTTCTCACATGTGTTGCGATACAACTTTTTTCCTTGCTCTATCAAAAGCCTTATCTCAATCCTTCATTGCTCTTCTCTCCCTGTGTGTAGAATCGACCCAGGTTTTGGGAGCTTTGCGAAAAGTCTTCCTCCACTAACACGAGAAAAGAACGGCAGTGAATCATTCGCGATGTTTGTGCAATCATTTGGTAGTTGAGCTGGCTTTGGAAATGGTCCAGCGGCTTCTTCCAGATTTTGACAGGCTTTCGTATGTGTCAATGCTATGGACGTTGAAAAGGGGGCCGAAAGACTTTTACTGTCCAGGTCAAATTGTTGTGTTGTGGACATTGATCTGGATGATGCATTTCAATACATGTTTTCAGTATGTCTTACGCTAATTACTATGGATCCCTACCTTCTGATAGTAAGTATGCTCACTCCATACATAGAACAGACTTGATCTCACAGTGGCATTATGTCGTCTTGTTAGAGTCAATCACAGTTACAAAGCTCATACCGGGGTACTTTGAACTTCTAAAGGGAGGTATGTTCGCATCCCAGCAGGACAAACATCCTACACCTCCATGGTTCTTACTGGCATGATCAATTTTGCTGACGGTCTACATCATCCACGTAGAGCCCAGTGCACACAATGATCTAATGAGAATACGTAGACAGACCGAAACTGACAATTGTCTCTCCACGAATATCTGTCATCATCCCATTGCCTGGATCATTAAAGCATCAGGGCCAACTGGGTAACGAAACTCGACTTGACTAACTCATTCCAATGCACTTGCCTTGGAGCCATCATCCCAGTAAGAAGCCCTCATCTTCGAACGTCTTGCACGTGAATCTACTCTATCTCGTCTATTCAAATGGTCGGCTCATCAACAGCTTCCTCATAATTTTCATTATGTACTTGTAGTATATTCACAAATGAAAGTCCACAGAGTATTTATCCATGACACATCCACCCCCACTGCCAAATCCACCGATATGAAAAATCTTCTCCTTACGCCATCATGCAGCTTCAACCTTAAATAGTTGGAATCTCGAACTACTGGGGACCCCACTGCCATCGACGTCCAGCCCTAACGCCAAAACATATGTAATCACTCAAGAAGAAAGTAATAATAATGAAAACTCTTCACTCGATCAAATTTTCACAAGACTCCACCACTAAGAGTAGTCTCTACATGCAGTAGGAATTTGACCGGCCGATTCCGCCTGGAACGAAGAAATTGGAGCAGGGAATATACTCAACAGGGATTTTACGCATAAGAACCTTCCGTATGTCGTTGGATTCGGATGCGCACACCGAGAGACCTTGCTATCGGGATCCAGTACCGAGACATTTTGTATGGATGAATTCCCAAACAACTTCGATCTACATCAAGAACGACGTCGTTGAGAAGCATGTTTAGAACGGGCGAGAACCAGTTGTTGGGATGCTTCGGTGCTTATACTACTTTGGTCTTTCCTCCACCTTTACTAGAACTGGGACAAATCAGGCTTGGTGCTTGAAAGCACATGTGTCATGTAGCCCTTGGAATAAACCTGAAAAGCACGTTGGCGTGGGGGGGGAGGGGGGGAGGTCGACTTGCAGTTCCTAATGCTCAATTATTGATGCATGAGCACGAGAAGCATGAGGTGACCCCCCAAAAGAAAGCTTCAAAATCCAACAATCGGTATACATAAAACTATTAATACTAGGATTTTCGTAAAACCCCAATTCTAGACCTCTGTATCTGCATAAACTTACATCGTGGTTCCAATTCTTGTCTCTTGCATATTGAAACTTCGCAACTCGATTGGAAAGTACATTGTATCGTATGATTCTAATCCGTGATTATACGATACAAGAAAAAGACCCTTCTCGGGTAAAATGAAGGAGCTGAAGAAAGGTTGAAAAGGCTTCGGTGTCGTATTTTTGTGTATCGGATGTATTTCCGTGCATAAGGGCTTGGTTCGCAACATTCGAAGGGTCCGTTTGTAAAGTTGCCTCGAGGCAAGCCAAGAAATGTTATAAATCTATATCTCCGAATATGCATGTTGTAGACAATGGATTTGAATATGTGGATGAAATATGGAATGATATCTCAAAAGGCTGTGCTTTGTCTATACACTAACACCTATATGCAATGTACAGTATATTGCAGACGCAGGAATACTTGTCTGAGATGTTAACGAATGGTCTTCAATATTGTAATTAGGTGGTAACAAAACGTACAAAAGCTCACGGGCAAAGTTGTAACCCAAATGTACTCATACGTGAATGTAAGTCATGCGACTTTCAAGAATTTATCTACTGTACCCTCTCGTACAATAACTATTATCGGACGAAAGACCTCGAGAACTAGCATGCAAGAAGTCACTTGCCAATTCAATATTATACTCAACTTTGTTCCCTATCAAAATCATATCACGACATCTACCTACTACACTATAACGCCCACGATATGTCGTGTCTTTACCTTGAAAATCAAAAATAGGCACGGGAAATCAATCACCCTCACTCAATGGGTTCTCAGAATAGAAAACTGGCAAACTGCAGTATCACCTCCACCAACTCAAGACCCCGAAACGCCATCATCGTCGGACTCGGACGTATTGATAAACCTACAGCATACACCACCGCAGCAAGATCAACGTCCCCGAAGACACTCGTGTATGTATGTATGCATGTATCTTCCTGCCTGCAAGCCAACGGGTCGAGTACATGAGGTTTAATATGATGCATGGGATGCAAATTTCGAGTACCTCACAATACATGAATATACCAAACCTCGTATGAAGAGGCCCAACGTTTCAAAGCATGATACTGTATTGATGGTACGAGTACATGAGGTGTACATAGCAACATGACCAGCTTCGATCATCACGACATATCATTTCCTTCGTACCACTCGTGAAGCCCTACGGTGATAATAACCGCTTTCTCATATCACAGATGATAGGACCATCGGTACGTAGAAACGGACGTTCAGGAAAATGTGCTCGAGCCGTTCAGTCAGTCCGTCCAACCCCAGATCAACAAGTTGCTACAAGCCTTATGGCAATTCACAATACCGGCTGCACGCATTGGCTCATGCGTGCACTCTCATCTGATTAGGGCTCGAGTTGACTGAGTTGTATTCCAGAGACGGGAATGACGTGGGATTAGAGTCAATGAGAATGGACGAGGCTTGTCCCTTGAAGAATCCTTCCCTTCTCCAGCCCGCATCTGCAGATAAGTTTAAGTGGCGAGATCAGATAGGCTTTTGAGGAGGAGTAACCACAAAACTCGTGCCTAATTTCCTTTCCTGCCCCCCCCCCCCCCCCCCCCTATAACGTGTAACTTCCTGGACGTAGCATTGTACATACTACATGATAGCCTATCGTAGCTTATCGTAACTTCGTCCAAAACACTTCATCCCATCCCATCACATAAAGTCTCCTCTGTCTTGTAAGCACTACCTACCATCTAATATCCTTGAAAACTCATCCTCTTAAAAACTTACTTTACCAAACCTTACCAATAGCACTCCCAAACTTTAAACTAAGAGCCCCAATTAGAACTTTCCCATGTGTTCGCTGTTAGTACGTATAAAGTGTTGTAGTAATTAGACCCCCAAACCTTTCCCAAAAACGTGGGGACGCAGACAAATAGAGATACACCGATTACACCGATCACATCAACAGCGTCATAGCAACATACACACAGCATGCACACCTCCAGCTCCAGACCAAGTGCAGCGTCGATCCCCTAAATAGGAAAGAGAAAAAGATAGTCGCCTCAAATAAGTAGTTGTTTCGAGCGGTGGAGGCTATCCGTTCTTTTTGAGTTATCTACTCGGTAGTGTCTACTAACTATAATTGTATTGGCTTGTTTCAACCTTCATTGCCCAGAACTGCAGGTACACTTTTTTTGAGCCCTGGCTACGCACTCACTTCCTTGCATGTCTAGATTCCAGCTACACTTCTCTAATCAGAAGTCCATGCATTGCTGTCCGTAGAATACCAAAGAAGCTACGAGGATCTCACTAGGTGCTTGAAAATCTTCTTATGTTGAGTTTGTAACATATTGTTAAATCCCGCCCCGGTTGGTGCTTCTTTCAAATCTAGTTGCCTTTTTCAATCGGAAAATAATACCCGATCCGATATGATATCACTTAAAGTCACAGGGCAACAGAAGGACGGTTTCAAGAAACTTCCTAGATACATTTTGCTTTGTGTTATTAGTCGGTCGAGCTTGAGGTCTGTTAACGTGTCTCGAGCGTGTGCTTGCCCATGCCTTTAAAATATGATGAACTCGTAGAGCATTGTTAGTGAAGCTAGAAAGCCATTTCAGAAAAACCGCAGCGTTAAATCCTCAGAAAAATGTAGTAAAAATAGAGAGATTCTGAAAAGAAATTCGAAAATCAGATCGTGCTGAGAGGTTACAATTACTAGAGAGTGTTCCACATGTGATTATCGTCACACCAATCAAAATAAAGGGCCAATGTATTGCTTGGATAAAATGTTTTCCATTCAGCGGTAGGGTATCTAGAACTAATATTCAAAAATCCTCCATCCATGTTGACTACCACCTCATTTGTTCAATCCGTTGATTGACTGGCTAGCTTTGCGCTTTTCCACATTGAAATCTTCGTTGAAAAGATAATTTCAAGGATAGCCGCCATTGCGTTGTGTTGCGAAATATTCCTCCCGTTGAATATCACTGCTTATCCACTTCCATTGCCCTCCCATCCTGGTTCCACAAGATCGTCCTTGTCCTTCCCACCACACCATCCTTTGATCAACTGTCTATTCTGTCCCATTCTCCCCTCTTGGTATCTTGCCCTTTACCTGCTACCGGTATATTACAAGAAATACGCACAGGTGTTCGCTGTCCCATTAATCGCCCTCTTAGGGGACTTTTGCCTAATCCCATCCGATCCGATAATCCAAGCTCCTGTTCATCCCCCTTAGCCAAGCCAGTCTAGACCCAGCTCAAATCCCAGTGAAATTTTTTGCGCTCCAGCTCCATCGCTTCACGTGAAAACACAAATAACACAGGAAATAAACGCATGAAAAGAAATCATCCATAGTATTAGTATGGATGATTTCAAATAAACAGTAAACAATACACAAGAACAACAATGCTAAATAAAAAAGAAGGATAGTAAAGATCTCGGATCTCAAGTTGGTATTTTTCATAGTTGCTTGCTAAGGAGTGTTTGGGTATAATAAAAATTCGTTTCGTTCGTAAAGTCGTTAAATAGATATGGCGGGATGGTACAACCATCAACCAACCAGAAGTAAAAACAGGAATAAAAATGATGGCTCGTGAGGGCCAGAAGCTTCTAAAAGACGCTTTTTCTCCATGGTATTCAAGGTTTCCCTAATCCCACGGGAAATTTATCAGTGAGAAATCGGAGAAGCTTGGCTTTCTTGCTGGGGTTTCGTCGAAGTTGTGCGGCAGCTTGAACCATTGGTCCAACGATATCTTCGTCGCCAAGCTGAGGGAATTTGCCTTCGCTGCGTGGATCGTTGAGTGACGGAATTTTGGTCATAACATTGCTTGAAGAAGAGTTGCCGAGTGTGTCATGTTTCAAAGTAGCGAATGCGTCTGTGGAGCTCTGAGCTGTGGTCGCAATTGTAAGTTCGTTGTTCTTCATCCACTGGAGATCTATTTGGGCCCATTTCTCCTCAGTCAACTTGTAAGTTTTTGAAGTAACGCCATAGTGTTCACCTGTGCGAACGACATGCTTGGTGTAGTTACAACGTGCAAGGTCCCAGTCGGCTCGTAGTTGCCGGCAAGCTTCGAGATCAAAATTCTCGGGAATATAAGGCTCAGGATGAATCACAAAGTTAGCATGGCCGAGTTTGTTCGCCCACTCGTCGTTTTCCTCGGCGATGAGAATCGAGGGAATCTCTGAGGAAGGAATTATGTAATTCGATCTGATTGTCGAGCGATGGAAGGAAGAAATTGAGGGCTTAGTACTCAGGGGCGGCGACGGGATGCCGGGTAATTGGTATGTAGTTATGAAATCAATTGGCGTGTTGGTACCAGACGTTGGATCGCTCGAGTCAGCGACAGAAGGTGATTGTAAAGGTGACTGCATTTTGAATTGAGCATTGGCTAAAACATCGGTCATTAGAGGTGGAAGTAATGGCGTGCCAGCCAATCCTTCTTCGAATTCCGATGTGCTAGTTTTCGCTTTTTCGATATCGAGGAAGGATGTTGTAGAGCTGTTATCACGACCCCCGAAAAAGCTTCTAGATGGAGTGAGCGGTAATTGGAGATCAGAATTGTCGTCCATGGGTCTGCGGCCGGAATTCGATCTCGATGAGGATCTACTGGACGGAGCCCTCGAGGTTGCGTAATCTCTTTGTGTATCAGAGCTGATAGATGCTGCTGAGGAACCCGTACCTTTTCTGGAATTCCACTTGCGTGCGAAAGAGGGGAACTTGGTTCCGAATCGAGATGTGAGTCCATTGAGCGGCGATTCGTTTCCTCTCCTCTTCTTGTATCTTGAATTGATCGAGAATTCTCCATCACTAAAGAATTCGTCGGAAAGGTCATAATCAAAGTCTTGATTAGTAGACAATTGAACTGAGCTTTGAGCCATAGATGTATCGCTGTGCAAGCAATACAGATCGTCACCTACATTACGAGAAGCAAGGATTAGCTATCACCCTTCAAATCTCAACCAATGAATATGTATGTATTTCGCGATGATCGACTACCCCGCGTAATCATCAAAGAAGGGTAAACAATAAATAAACATATAGATATATGAAGATTTTGTATGATACTCATAGGGCATGGTACGAGTAAAGGTGTGAGTGAGACTTACACAAGCAATTGTATAGTTCATCGCAATCCAGGAGATCGTCATCGTCGTCATCTTCAAACATAAAGTCATTTTCTCGTTCGCGAGGAGGTTCTTCTTGAACGTCAGGTAGTGATCGCTTTCCAGATTTATGGCTTGTGAATGTGGGTGAAGACGGACTCTCGTAGAGATATTGAGATTCAATTGACGACGCTGAGCTTGGATGCCTCATATGTCCTCGTGTAGAGAAAGTTGGTGTGACTGGTGATGGTAGCTCCGATGCCGATGAGTTTTGTGTATGAATTGAGCACGAAAGATCCATATCTAATTCTGGTAAGCTTTCTCTAGCTTTTCTCTCTGCGATATGGCCGGGAAGGCGAAATTCAGCTAATCCTGTTGGCATTTTTAGGAGTCGGCGAGTATGTAGTTGTTCGAAATTCTAGAGGCTGGTCGATGTAGGCGACTTGGATTGTATCGATAAGGGAGTGTACTTGTTCAATTAAAACGGGTGCGAGTTTGAAGTGCAATTGACAACATAATATGAAGGTAATTCTTGTCTTTTTCTTTCGGATGAATTGATGTAGAGATACCCAGGTAGGGAAACTGCACAAGTAACTTGTTCACAACTTGGAATCATACGTGGACGTTTTGGAAAGTTATGCGTTTTCCAATGGACCACGTAGTTATGTGTATAGGTAGGTAAGCAAGTGAAAGTGCGCGCGGCGGTGGGAGAAATGTATGGATAATATGAAGACTTGATTGAATGCGTGGTTGGGGAGTTCTGGATCGTGTCGCGAACTTTTTTTATCTTTTACGGAACCAATTAGATATTGCTCTACCTAGTCGCTCTTTCTTGTTTTTTTCTCTCATCCAATACCCTCACGTGGAGGATTTAAGCTGGAAAAAAAGGAAAAGAAGTTGCAGGATTTCGGGGACTAAGTTAAGACTTACAGTAATTGGACAGATGGTTTGATATTGAGTTATTGCATTCGAATGATATGTAGGTAGGTATGTAGGTATGTAGGTATGTATGTATGTAGTAGTCTGTATGTATGTATGTAGTGTAGTATGTGGTAGCAATGTTTGACAAGAGGGCGGAGTGATGTATGTGACGGGGTACGACGGTGAAGGGGTTATCGGAAGTGTCTGGGGGGTGGTTATTCTTGAGGTATAACTGGTTGAAATGGGGTCCTGCTGGTCGATGAAGATTGATATAGATTGACGAGTGGATTTGGGATGATTGGAAGACGGAAGACGGAAGACAATGAACAAGTCAGAAGGTTTGGCAAAAGATAGAGATGGGGGAGGGAGGGGGGGAGAGTCGAAGTGAAGATTGAGAATAATCGGAAAAGAGGGTTGTGATTGTAAATGTGAATGTAAATGTGAATGTGAACGAGACCTCTTAGACCTTTCAGAACTCAGATCCGTGGGAATGGATGGTAGATCTAGGTATGGAGTAGAATAGGACGTACCTAGTCGACTCCTAGTCTCGTAGTCTTCTAGTCTCCCAGTCTTCTAGTCTCCCAGTCTTCTACTCCCAGTCTTCTGCTCCCAGTCTTCTAGTCTCCCAGTCTTCTGCTCCCAGTCTTCTAGTCTCCCAGTCTCCCCGTCTCCTAGTCTCCTAGTCATTCAGAATTTGTGTTTGTGTTTTGATATGACCCATTTATTATTTTCAATAATACTAGAACCTGGGCGTACGGAGCATTCCCACGGGGGGGGCTCGGGGGCAGTATGGATGTGGGTGCGGATGTGGATGTGGGCAATTATCAATTAGCAATAATGGATTTGGAACGAAAGAAAAAAAAAATAGATTGTGGAGCCAGACCAAGCATACTATTCCATACTATCCCATGCCATACTATATCACCATCTTCCCTATGAATATCCATTATATATTGTAGAACATTCCTACTCTTTCTGTACGTACAAAACGACAAGGTAGTAAGTAGATACCTGGGTATAATTAATACACGACTACACCAGTATACACGACTACACCACTTAATCGTGCTCTTCTTCACTTGTTTACTTGTTCACTCACTCACTTACTTCTTGCCTTCCTCCCCTCCTCCCCTGCCCTGACCTACCTACTCCGTAGTACTTATTCATGACTTGTCAACAACTCTGCAAAGTACAGTATTCCTTTTCTTTTACAAGGTGTATAGTCATAGTATCTCCGGGGCACACTGTACATCGTATAATACCTACTGTATTCCATACATATATCATTACTTTACTTTATACCCAGGCTCAGGCTCAAGCTCAGGCCCAACTTCAAGCCAGGTATCTCGGAATGAGTCCACTTTTTACTTCTTCTTCTTCTTCTTCCCCTTCTTTCCCTTCCTCGAGCCTTCTTCCCCTTCTTCCCCTTCTTCTTCTTTTGGGACCATTGAACTCTGCACCGACCGTTGCCTCCTTGTCAATAATAAGTAGGCTGTAACCAATAGCCTCCAAACTCACGCGGCGTGAAGCGTCCATAGCTTTATTAAAGGAGACGGATAGATTTGAGGGATTGATGGACGGATGGCAATCAACAGCTAGATGATTTAATTGGTAGCATGTTCTTTCTAAATACAATGCCGACGGATATCTCATACATTACTATTACATAGCTAGGTACGAGTATCTAATACATTACCTTTACATTACTACCGGTCGGTACATGACGATGATTTGACAATCAACCTCTCTTCCTCCTTTACTTATCCCAAAGAGGAAGCTTATGAATTGCATTTGATCATAATACATAATAGTCACATGTTACTACATGTTACCATACCAATTCATTCATTCATACCTTAATATGTTGGCATGGTTAACTTTGCTCGCTACACATATCCTCTTTTCTTTCCTTTCCTACTTGCCGCTCTTCTTCGATCGTTCGGAGCTTGCGCAAGACATTTGAATACTGTACCAGCACCAGCACCAACGCCAGCGCCAACAACAATCCCAATACCAATACCCCGAAAGGCCTTAGAAACGCCTAAAAACTTGGCGGATCTCTCAAGGCTCAAGAGTCGACTACGATCAGGTCAGTCTACACTCTACACTCTACATATATACTTCCTTCGTGCAAGAGATCTTCCAAATGACTTTCTTTATATGGATTAATGGAAACGCCAATATACCGTCGGAACTTCTCTTCCCATCCCTAGTTGAGGAAGTCCAGATTTCTTTCTCACATAATGAGCGGGTCATATCGTTATTCTACATAATTCTAGTCATGGATCGATCCTCTTTTTTCCCACTATCTTTCTTGCTCCGGAATCCGTACCGTACCGTACAATACAGTGTACAGAATTCCATCGACACCTCCTCACCCTTACCGGTACCCGTCCAATCTATGCTTGCTCGTCCAAAAGCCCTTGCTCGTGATAATTAATATCCTGCTCTGTTGTATGGATTGATTTAATCTAGGGGCATTCGATTCATCTTTCCATAATCCTAGCTGACCCAATCGAATTGGAACTAAACAAGGTGTAGCGGACAATGTATACCGACTTGGAAATAACAGAAAATGGTAAGGAAGACGGATCCCAACGCCTCGGGGAACAGGGGAAAGATCAAATGGTCGGTCTTATTACCTATTACATCCATAGTCAGTGGTGGGTCGCATTCCGGTCGTTTTTATCAGTGGTTGATTTTAGTTGAAAGGTCTTTTACCGGTATTAGGTCATAAGGCGGAAAAGAAATGCTGTTTCTCGGCCCAGGAAGATAGTTGAACAGAAAACCTTTGACAAACTAGAGAATTTTCGGAACCTAATATTGTTCTAATTATACCACTGCGGAAAAAACTGAGACAATCGTCGTTGATTTAGATACTAACCCAGCCTTTGTCTGTTATCCATACGTATAGATACAAGTGGGGAAAGCGTTTCGCTGAAGAAGACTCATCGCATCTGTATCAGCTTCTATCAAACCTGAGCTTCTTTTCTTCAGATGTTAGATGGAAGATGTAATAATGACGAAAGGTTGTGCAAACAAAAGTAATAATGCACTGTAAAAATATTCAGTCTACACCTAAAATGGTGATCTTCCGTGTGTATTTATGCGCGCATCGCCTAGATTCCTTATTGAGGCTAAGCTTTGCCCTGTCAAAGTCCACAACATTTGAGACACCCCTGGTGCAGGAACCCGACCGTCGATCCAATGATCGAGGGCCATGCCGTTGTTTCTCGTTGTTTCAAGCAATGTGTGCTACCCCGTCCCTAGTCCGCCTCGCGATTCATCACATCTGATTTCTTGTTCAAGCTGTGCCAGGAAATACATTACCGCCCGCCTTGCCTTATCGTTGATGAAAAGAGACGCCATGCGCATGACTTCTGAAAAGGTATTGTTTCTTGTTGTTTGTGTGAGAAAAGTTTCGGGGGGCACAGAATCGACTCAATTGCTTGTCAAGCTTCTCGCCTCTAATTCAATCAACCCAGAACAAGTTGTTTGCTAGCTTAAATGGACCCCTACCAGATCAATGAATCACTCAATCAATATCCGTGCGGGAATGGAAGGATACAGATGCCGCAAACTTTTAATTGGCGGGTTAACCAAATGCTTCGTCAACCTACTGGTAGCACGGAGTATGTTTTTGGGCCTGCTTAAATACCCCACAGTCAGGACCATAGATGTGGTACCTCTGTAGAAGAACAAAAAAGTGGAGAACCGTGAAAGCTCTCATTCATCTTTGGAGGAAGTAAACAAAAACAAAGTGCACTGTTCGCATAACACTCTTTACGAGGCAACCCCTTAGCAATGTTATAATATCCGTTGCATATGGTCTCGCGCACAATGAGTAGGACAGCATACTCAACAACCTCAGGTTCCAGTTCATTTTATGGCACTGTAGTGTTTTGAGCATCCTAAGGTGGATGACTAAGAAAACATCTTTACCTACTAGATGTCTACTGCCGTTTATGATAACCGCAGGCCAGTCGAATAAGAGGTCCGCCGTTGTTTGGGTAATTTTTGGTGAGAGCTCTTAGGTCGCTCAAAACATGGATCAGAATGAATGATGAGTTGAGTTCGATCGACGTGGTCCAGACACCCAGCCTCCTGATTTAGCTAGTCCTCGCGTGGAGTGTTCCGTTTCACTATGACCAAATTCAACACCCAAAAGCTCTATTGGTAGCTAGCAAAGAGTAAACGCGACATAAAGTGCAACTTAAAATATATAGGCTGGGCACACGAATATTTCGCTTTCAACATCATTACGTTGAGAGAAAATCAAGATTCCGTAATGCATCACAACAACAAGTAATGTTGAACGTTGTAAAATAGAAATCCGAATCTCCTTGAAGCGGCGGACAGATAAATACCGGCACACTATTGCAACGTTGCTGCAGTCCATCACGGCCGCCAATCGAACATGGCAAAATTCGCTAGTTCACAAGGGATAGTACCTAGATATTGGGACAATTGTACAGATCCCTCGGATAATCTCCTGCCATGTGAAATATGCCACGTTCTTCCACCGAGGTGTTTATCGGAATCATTGATTGATTGATTTTTCAAATCCAATGTTGAGTCCAAATTTCTCGTTGGGCTTCGCTTCCCTCGAACTTATGATCTCAGCATTAAACATACAGGGAAAAAAGGGTATGCAGTGAGACGTACCTTGAATGGTACTTCTGTAATATCCTGGAATCCTTCGATCAATTCAGGTCGTTGGTATCTTGAATTGAAGCTTGTGAAGGCCAATTTGGGAAGTATCTTTCTCTTTTCAGGGTTCATCTGTATCGGATTAGAAATTCATGGCTTAGGAAAGACAACATAGCATGGATCTTTTCATGAATGAAGAGGGTAATCCATTGGAGTGAAGAAAGACGTACGGTTTCATTCAAGGCTCGCACAGCATCGTTGTGCTCGCATACTTGTACACTTGTTAGAAAATGAACACAGCGGATCGGCACGGAATGCTTGGCAGCCAGTGCTATCCATTTACTGCGAATATCTCGATCTGCATTAGTATTGTCTAGAAGATATCAGTTTTACTGTCCTCGTAGAGATGCAGTGCAAGCTCGACTACTCACCCACGACCACAGACTTCCCCTCATCTAGATATTGACCAGCGACTTTAAAACATTTATCACGCTCCTCGGACGTTAGCCTAAGTTCCGTAATCGTTGGCAAATGCAGCACATACTGTCTTGAGGATGTCTTGGTTAACTCTGGCATAACCAAGAGGTTCCAATTGCTTCCAATAGAATGTAGATTTTCCAGCGCCAGGACTACCACAAAAGATAACTATGTCTTTCGGGTTGTCTTTTTTGTACTTCGGGGACACTGAAACAACGTCAAAAATAAATCGGCCAGACAAATTTAATGAAACCAACCTGTGGTGTCTTCAGAGCGGTAATCTCCTGGTTCGAAGGTGCGAGTGAACGATCTTGGTGTTTCGTCGAGAAAATATTCTTCGGGAGTGTAGAATTTGATCCCGACATTCTCAGCGAAATTCCTACGAATGTCAACAATCGATCCAAAATTAAGAGTCCGCGATAACGTTACCGATCTGAACAAGAAAAGTCCTTTGGTTTTCCGGTACTTGCGTTGCGCCCGGCAGCATCTCCAACAAAAATGGATTCCTGTAGTTTAAGATCACCTGGAAGATGAATATCAAAGTCCTCAAGTAATTCCTTCCACATGCCCGTTCGTGGCTTTCGGTAGATATCCTTTTCGGTTGCTGCATATATGCTCACTGGGATATCGAGATGATTGAAGACTGCAGATACTTTTGTCTTGAATTCAGCAAGTCGAGCTTTGGGGGATTTGGGGTCCGTTTTGAGTGAAATACCAGCTTGATTGCTGATCACCACGACACGAAAACTATAGAACATTCAGCACTTCGGAACGATACGAGAAAACGTGCCACCAACCCATCATCTAAGTATAGTTTTCTGAGAGTACCAGGAACCGATGGGTGCCACCACTTCCAATCTTGGCCATTGGTAGAATGTTTCTTTCCAGACGATGTTTGTATGAGAGTGGAGTCCTATAGTAAGATATTATTAGGTTGCTACTCCAGATATTACAAAGCCAATACTTACAAAATCGAAAGCTGCAACTTTGTTTCTTTCCAAATTTTGTGATAAGACTTCCTTGCCTGGGCTATTCAGTGGTTCAAACTTGCCAACCAACAGCGTGTTTGGTGAATCTTCATTTGGTGCGCGTTCTTGCCAGGAAATTTTCTCGGGTGGTTTTTGTGACGTAGGCGTGAAAAATGATGCAACATCAGTCTCTTGCACTTAATTTCAGCTACCAAATCTTACATAGCTAAGGTGAAGCTTACGTGTTGTTGTAGACTGTACTTTGCGACGCAATGGTGGAGGTGATATTGGGCGGTCTGTACTCGACTTTCTCTTCTGTGCATTACCAGGGCTTGCCATAATTCTCCAAATATATTTTGAGGTGGGTGTCGGGAGATATTTTGCTGATACAGCAAGCAGCTTGATATCAAGCATGTATCACTGGCCTTCTTCTTTATTGCCTCTGGCCTTTTTGTTGATCAAGTACAAACATTTCAGAAGATCGGGCCGTCCAAGCTGCGCACGAGGCAATCACGAGACAGTCACGATAATCACTAACGTCACGTGTTATTTTAATACAACCATTCAAATTCCTTCCATTCTAGGCAAACAAAGCACATACAACTAATCTTCAGCCTCGATTCTCCCTTCCTATACACAACCTATGGATTGTGTCTTTTTAAAGTATACTCAATAGATCCCTGAGAGGTATTGTCGTAACTGAATACAATTGCGAATAAAATCAAGCAATTACCACAGTTACAAACATCACGCCCTACAGCTGTTATTATCATTGTTTTGAAACTGACGGCGTGCTACCGTTTCCTCAATAGAGAAGTTCTACTGTTCCACATTTTGATGTTTCATGGTCATTGTGTTTCCATGATATCTTCACTTGGTTTCCAGTCATAATGTCACGCATGAGTTGCTCTGCCAGCTATGGGATCTAATATCCCTTATACATGAAAGCTGTGGTGCACTTCGGTATTACTCTCCGATCTCTCATTTACATTAGAATTTCTTCTATCAAGATTTCGATGAAAAGTTTCGTAACACATGGTTTCAAGGCATGTTAAGATATACTTGGAGTTTGCA